AATCCCTATTTTGAAACTGAAATTCATTATGTGTCGTCTAAAAGAAACATGCACTAAGTCATAAATCCCATTTATAACTTTCAATTAATTTCCTTTTTAGCGCATTTTCTCATTTATGGAAAAAATGCACTATTGTGCTCGCTATGTCCGTCTGTCTGTCTGTCCGTCCGTCTGTCCGTCCGTCCGTAACCTCAAGTTTTCGTCGACGAGAAAATGAGCTCTCTGTCACTCACTGCAGTGAGTACATGAGTTATATTTTTAGCGCATTTTCTCATTTATGGAAAAAATGCACTATTGTGATCGCCATGTCCGTCGACGAGAAAATACGCTCTCTGTCACTCACTACAGTGAGTACTGAGTTATATTTTTTTAACCTCTCCTGGGTTTTCGTCTCCGACAAATTAACGGCCGGACTCGCGGGCGGTCTCACGGCCAATTTTTCAAATTCAATGATCAAGGAATATCTCTCAAACTAATGAACTTAACTCGATGAAACACGGTACACGTATTCATTAGGACCTAACCTTAATGTAAAGCTCGTGACAATTTTTTTTAATTTTGCCTTCAATTGTTTTTGCCATAGTTTTATGGTAATACGGGCCGAAATTCACAGTGATCAAGGAATTTCTTCCAAACTACTGAAAAAATTTGAACGAAATTTAGTATTGTAATACCTAACCTCAACAACGGGTGATGTTTAGCTCGTTACATTTTTTTCGTTTTGCCTTCGTTTGCGAGTTATATGGCTATACGTGAACGGCTCTTTTTTGAACCGGCCGGTAGAAAAGCCGGTCGTTCCTCCTATATCTGTATAACTTGCGAACGAAAGCGAATAAGGAAGTGTAGTGNGGGCTTGCCTGGTGTGGGACCCAGGGGGGAGGGGCAAGTCCCTGGCGGGGATCGACGGCCCAGAAATGGAAATGGTGGTGAGTCGCTCGAGAATCAGAGGGTAAATTTTGTCTTTGGGTTACAGTAGTTCTTCTCTACTGTGTGTCGCTCTCAGTGAGTTGCGTTAATCCGTCAGCGTGATAGTGTATTGGATGATGTGGGTTGATTTGGGACCAGCCACACCCAGACGTGATGGAAACATCTGCCGCCCGGATGTAGCACGGTCCACTGTATAGTAATTTGTACAGAGATGAAGGTGGGGTACCTAAAGCGTGTAATATGGAGCTTTCGAATAACCGGTGCTGCCTTGCTATGACTTAATTTGGGGGAATGTGAGTTGGTTGAAGAGCTGGGATCATTTGTTTTGAAGGTGGACCAAGTTTTGCGTGCTTGCTATGAAGGACTGTGTTCATTGTAAGAATGCCGCATTGCTCGCGTAGTGTTTGGGAGGATGTGATGCCTGACCAGTGAGTGTTTTTGCTTTATCGGAGGGCTTTGTTGTGTACAGTCTGCAGTTTGGATATGGTTAAATTTGATTGAGTGTGTAACGTTATTGGGGGGTAAATGACGGATGATCTGACAAAGAAGAGGTATAAGATGCGTTTTATGTTGGGTGGGAGGTGGTAAAATCTATGTATATTGTGTTGATTGATGAGTTCCATTACTTTTCTTTTCGCTACCTGGGAGCTGAAGCTGTGTGTAGTGAAGCGTAAACCTAAAACTTTTCCTTTGCTTGTGTATGAATCGTGGGGGGTCGTGGGTGTAGAAGCTAGAAGCTGTATAGTGTGGGGAGATATACAATTAAGCCCCTTGGGGGACACCTGTGTGGATATGTAGTGTTGAGACCTATGTGAATCTATTCTTATGGATGCTGTTCTCTATGTAAGGTAGTTTGAGAATGTTTTGGCGAAGGTGGATGATCTTGAATTGGAGTCCGGTGTGCCAGACCTTGTCAGAGGCTTTGGTCACATCGCGGAGCACTATGTCAGTGTTGTGTCTTTGTGATAAGTGGGTGACTAGTGTTTCGAGGAATCTGGCTAGTGCTGTGTGTGTGTCCCTCTATGTTGCCTAAAACCGTGTTGCCTTGTGTTATGTATGTTGTGAATGGAAAGGTGTGCGTATAATCTATTGCTGAGAATTTTGTCTAAGAGCTTCCCGTGCAAATCTATACTCTATAGTGAGATGGGTCTGTAATTTTGGACTTGATGTTGTGATGTGTTGGGTTTGAGGAGGAAGTTCATGATTGCGTATTTCAGTGAATCCGAGAAATAACCGCAGGAAATGACATGATTTAATATGTATAGTAGATAGTGGATCACCTTTTTGGGTAGGTATTTGAGTTGGAGGGTTGGGATGCCTGTTGGACCAGATGTGTTTTAGTGTACTTTATAATTCTGTTATACTGATAGGTGGGAAGTCTGCAGGGTGGAGTCAGGAGAGGTCGCCATGATTATATGGTTGAATTAGGTTTATGTTGTGGCTGATATGGCCTTGCATGGTGTGGACGTGTTCGATGTCAAAGTCTTCATTGTTTGTGTCATCCTGAGTGAACATTCCTTGCCAGTGTTTGCGAGCAGATGGGTACTTTTTGTTCGGGTGTGCCATGTTGTATGTTGTGTTTGAGGTATGGGACAGCTTGTTAGGTGTTGGTGCCTATCATGCGTTTAGGGATGACCAGATTTATTGGGGATCTGCTTGAGTTTTTAATGTGCTAATGTGGTCCAGCCATGTCTGTGTTTGGAGGTGTCTGTACGCTGTGTGTAGTCGTTGACGCAGGGTGATAAGTGGTCTGTTGAGCGCTAGCTATGGACCGTGGGTGTGAATGTAGTGGAGAGTAGGTTGGTATTGTGTTTGAATAAATAATGTTTCGTGGGTGGGTTTGATGTCGAGAATGATGCAGTGTGTTATGGTAGGGAATGAGATTTCGGCGTCTTTCTATATGTGTTTTCTTCAGTTATCCAAGTATGTGTTTATTTCTTCTAGCGACCCGGCTATTATGGGAATGTGGTCTGATTTAGTAATGGCGTTATGTTTTGAATGCTTTATTGTTGTGTTGGACTCTTTCAGGTGATGTTGTGCTGTTGTGGGTGATGAGGGTTGAAAAGTAGCGGCCGATGTGGGTACATTTACATTGGGATATTAGTGCGTGTACTTGTCTTCCTATGTGGTTGGAGGAGCTGTTACCTATTGTAGTGTGTCTCGCGTTTATGTCAGCGAAGTGATACATGGGATGGGGCCTATTCAAAAGTTTGTGGAGCTCAATGTAGTTGCTATTGTCTATACTGGGTGGCATGTGTGTAGCTGCTATTGTTATGGGTTCTTTTTGGGTATCTACTGTGATTGCGAGCATGTCTGTATGAAAGCTGTCGTGTAGTTTGTATGGGACATGGCGTTTTACTGCTATGGTTGCACCGGAGTGAATTGTGTTATCTTTATTGCAGCTATGGACGTTGTAACTGAATATTTTGAGAGGAATGTTTTTGTCCGTGATAGAGTGATCGTTAATAAGAATGATGGCAGGATCTATGTCATTGTAAATATTTGATGCCGTTTCATGTCGTCATCGTCAAAAAATTCGGTTTGGAGGTTGAAGTCGGTGTCCGGAGTCTTGGTTTTAGGTTGANGGTGTGATTGTTACAGTGGTGGCGGTATGATTGTTACAGTGGGGGCGGTGTGATTGTTACAGTGGGGGCGGTGTGATTGTTACAGTGGGGGCGGTGTGATAGTATCAGACACTGATAGCCTTTTCAGTGGCTCTGGTAATACAATATTTATGCTCTCGTTTGGAATTATTTCCTGTTCGTCTTATTGAATTTTTTCGCCTCATAGGGAAAATTTCGTAAATTTGAGATTAATTTAATTTAATAGTGAGTATTTCATTATAGTTTTGAGGTAATAATTATTACCACCTGAATATGTCCATTGTTCATGTTAGATGTTTTGTATGAGCAATATTGTCGTAGAATATATTGCTAATATTTATTTTATTTAATAAGTAAAATGATAAATAAATATAATATTGATTAATTATTATTTCAAATTATATTGATATTAAATATTATCAAGAATATGACTGTAAAAGTAATATTTTATCGTAATGCCTGAAACTAGCTCTTTCCCTTTTTCTTAAAATTATAATTATGTGATTTTCGATGTTGATAAAAAAAAAGAAGAAAAATATAGATATGAACAATTTCAGCTTTTTGCTCAACATTTGAGGTCTTCTAGATTTATGTTGCAATGGAAAAAATGTTAAGTAGGGTCATATGCACGAAAAATCTCTCCAAAAACTGCATCCATAAATTCACCATCACTTGTGGCTTTGCCGCTTCTTTGGGCTTCTGGGTTCACTTCTGTGCGACATTGTTCACCACTGAAATAGTCAGTTGTGTCAGACGCCATAAAAGGAAAATAACAAGTCTTAGCCTCGTATTTAACTGGCATAATCACATATTAGAGCCGTTTGTTCTCCAGTTTTTTCAAGGCATTTGTGAGCCTTATTTTGAGTGTACATGAGTGTACGAAAGTCAAGTATTTTTAGTACTAGCTGAGCCTTTGTCGTCATTTGCGTTATTATGAGCATTTTCATTATGTATAGGCATATTCCATGATATTTTTAGCATTTCATAAACATCATGTAATAATATTACTCATCAGAATAAAATTTCAAAGTAGTTCAGTTTAAGAAAAATGTTCAACATAAAATATACATAACATTCAAGAAAATTTGCACGAAATGATATGTATAAAATTTTTGAAATTAAGAAAATTATCTGCGAGAATAATATTATAGGAAACCTATGGTTGCATGATGTTGAATCGGCAGTACACTCGGAACCGGAACAATTCACTGGATAGTATTCAATTCAGTGTCATTTTTTGTGTTAAAGATCAATTCGTATCTTTTGCTCAGTTCGAATTATGAATGGTTCCAGTATACAGTATGTACCGTTAATCCGACATTCTGCCCTTATAGTTTATAGTATTTTGCTATTCTTGTATATTTCAGTGATTAATATAACAGTGGTATTTTTTCTGTCCCATGAGTAAAAGCATTTATTTTGGTATGACTATGGAAAACATGTTTAGCTCTATCTAAAGCTAGTAACTCGTCAGGCATTCGGATAGCATTAAAAAAGCATTTATATATTCGTAAAAAAAGTGTTAAATGGACACATTGAAGATGAAATTTATCCACGTTTCCACTATACAATCACAGAATATCGAAAGAGCATCAAAAATATACTCGACGTCGACGAGTATGAGCTCAAGAATAAAGGGCAGAACAAGTATCTAAACACTCGTCCAAACGCGATCGATCTTACACACTTCACAGTGGTATTTTTCGTGTCTCACGTTCGTTGAATCGCGTAGAATCATTTGGCATATTCAACACGTAAGAAGTTGTAATTATCTTTCGACTAAAAAAGCGGCTTAGTTTCACAATTACTTATGATTATTTTTCAAGAGCACAAAATGACTTGCAGTCTTTCTAGGAAGGATGATTGCAGCTAAAAAGGACTGAAACATGTTGTTAAAACTGGAAAAAAAGCATTCAAATAATAAAGAAGCGATCAGACACTTAATGTCTTATCGACATAACTAAATAACTTCTTACATGTAATCAAACTTTTCTTTTTTAAGTCGTAACATATCAAACAATCACATAGATATTGTATTTATAACACTAAATTTAGGAATAACTCCAACGAGGATTTGCCTCAATTCATTGAGGCAGCTGAGTCAACTAACTTATTGCAGAGTATTAAAGTAGTAATTGACTGAAATTTGCTGACATTTATAAAGCATGGCTGTATTTGAGTTAACAGTCAAAGAGAAAACGCTCGATATTCTTGCGTGTGAAAGGGTCTGCGTAGTTCGAAGCATGCTTTAGTCGTCACTTTCTAGTAGTCGTTGCACTACATCAGTAGCATTCACAAACCTCGGAGCAAATTTCCTCCTAGGCTCTACCACTTGCATGACGCCACAGCCACATCCGGCGGCGTGTGACAGAACATCGTTACCGATCCTTTCGTTATTTTGAAGAGGGCTTGGTGACTGAGCGGTAAGACGATGGTTGGTTTCTGCATGAACAGTCTGATGTGGAAATGTGTTCTGCATCTTGAGAGGGTGTGGTGCAATAGGCATGGAAGGTTCTGATTGAACGCCGAAAGGAGACGCCTCTGTTGTAGCGTGACCAATATCATTAAATTTTAAATTAGTATCGTAACCGAAGTGAAGAGTGGATGCAGGCATAAGATATTGAGAAGCAGAGTAAGGAAGAATAGACGTTCGAGCAACGTCTTTCAAATTTAAAAGCGAGAAATTGTTTAGATCTTGAGTAACAGCAGATTTAATAACGTTATTGTACATGTTGTTCTGACGTTGATTCATCGTGGCATCAGGTAAAGAGAAGAACGAACTAATGGTTCGTCCTTGATCAGATAATTCTGTTTGTTCATTAGTACTAGTGGGTGAAGCTTTCTGGACAGAATTAACATTTTTATCCCACGGTCGTAGTAAGAGTTGAATTAGTTTGTTTGATTTGCCGTATTTGCTGTGAGAATTAGCAGAATGCGCGTTATCCGGGAACTTTATACCTGAACTTTGCTTATGCGAAGGTAATTTGGCCGTCTCAAAATTTGCTACCAAAGGATTCGAGTTTTTTACTGTATCGTTTGAGGGTCCAAAAGATGTCAGGCTCAAGTTGTGTAGTTTCATTAGTTCACTTAACATTTGGTCGGTTGGTGTGGTAGGGAGTACGGTCTTGGAAAAACTGTCACGAGTTTGTGCTGACTGCTGAACAGAAGTCTCAGGTGATGGCTGACGTTTGTCTCCGTGATTTTCTAAGATAATGAAAATTGGATGCAGAATATTTTTGTTATTTGTAAATAGTGAACGGTTATTTTCAAGTAATGAAGATACTTGCTGTAAAAGAGATTCAGAGAACGTTTTATTTGTGTGTTTACTTTCTGCTGAGCTGAGTTTGATAACACGCAGCATTTTTTCTACATATTGCCATGTGGAAGGTTCGTTTGTAGTATTTTGATAGTCATTAACATTCGAATTTGTCGTACTGAAGGTATTCATTGGCGAAGTTAGGTTTGCATCGGTGTTGTTCGGACCTTTCCGCCCGCTTGTCCCTTCAGCCGATGTTAGGAGCTCAAAACTGTGCTTCCAATTCTCGCTCAGGTTGATTCCTTCAGGTCTCCTCGCCTTCTTCGCCGCCGATACTGCAGGAAAAGGAAAGGAGAGAGTCAAGCCCGGACGGAAGTTATTCGTCATCTCCTCACTCTTTTTCATCTGTAACGAATGAGGGCTTGCAAATACTGGATAGCCCAAATTTTGAATAACAAAGCTCATCGGCAAATTCGATGAATCGACTCTTCTTGAATTCTTACTGCCCTCTCTAGATTCTTCAAAATGCTTTTTATATTGAATGCTTTTGAGAGACTTTTTACTTCGAAATTCACTCATTGAGTCGTGTGAACTAAAAGTACCATGAGTCGAGGAAATTCTTATTTTACTTACAGCCGGAAGGCGGGCAACACTGAGATCCTGATACTCCTTGTAGGCAAGGTCGTCGGCATGTAGTGCTGGAGTTTGCACATGGCTACGAGCTCTCCTCGGGGTGGGTGTGTAGTCTTGGTTTTCGTACTTGGGCACCAATCCGTGATGAATTTCAGGGGACGCCTTGTATGTAAAGTTTGGTTCAATGTGATGTAGAGCGGTGTTTTCAAAGGATTGGGTTATTGGCTTGCTGGAAACTATTGTATGTGGAGAGTGAATCGGCGACGGGGAGTAATACTGGGCTAAACGGGGATGCCGAATACCGTACAACTGGGTCATTAAAGAATCTTGGTGAATCTGAGGAAGACGGTAAACCTTGTTTCCATGCTTTGGATCAACTAATAATTGAACATCATAATCGTTAAGTCCAGTTTTGGGGTTGGAAGCGTCTCTGATTCTCTTCCCTGGCGCTGAAGTCGACGCGTCTTTTGCAGCGAATGGTGAGAAAATGGAATCATGAATGAGTTCATCCAAATCAGAGGTGTGATGCTCTGTCTCATGAGTTTTCGAATGAAGAGGCTTTATTGTGGGTTCGATGTATTTTATTTCTGAGCGAATTTCTTGGCGAGGCTTGGAAACGTAGTCATAACCTGGAGATTTCAAGAATGTGAACGACTTAGGATAAGATTGCTTTCGGTCGTCGTAGGTGTCTGAGACGTCGGACTTTTCATGTTTATGATAGTCAAGTTGAGGTGCGTACCTATATTGAATTCCGTGCGAGTCATGTTCGGATACTTCTTCATAGTTACCCTTTTTGAATTTGTAATCGTGATGATTATAACTTGGATGAACAAACTCATGAGCATGTTCATAAACTGGGATGCTTATCGGTTCGTGAGAGATAGAATATATCGGTACATGAGAATTATATTCAGGTTCTTTATAATAAGAGTCTTTGGCGTAATGGGATTTCGCTTTTACGTAAGCGTGTTCATATTCCGCGTCGCTAACAGTAGATTTCGGAGAATCGTAAGGATGGTACAAGGAATGGTACAGCGAATGAGGTTTTCCTGTGTCGTATTTATCGTTATTGATAGTTTGGGGTTGAGAATATGGATCACTGTGAACTGTCTTAGAATAAACCTTATTATAAGATTTCACTGGGAGCTCTTCGTAGTAATTAGGTTTCTTATGATACAGATCCCCGTACGTGAGTGATTCCGGGTAGGGGTCTGAATGATGGTATTCTTTGGAGTTATCAGTCGGCTTAAAGATGTCGGCCTGTTTATGGCGTTGAATAATGGTGACGTAAACTGGAGCTTGGAGGGATTCGACTGCCTTTAGAGGTTCTTCACGATCTACCACAACTGCATCTTCGAGAACTTCTGTATCTTGTACTACTGACGATGAAGGAGGTGCAGCTGCCACCGTTGTCAAAACTGCAACACAATAATTGAGAATTCGACAGTAACCCCTAGGCGAAATACTCAGGAAAGATTTTCCAGCGTCACAACTGACGCATACGAAATTCCATTTCTTATTGAACTGGATTATACTTAACTGAAAATTTTTATTATAGTTAATAAAAAGTAACTATAAATTAATTACGTTATGGAAATTACTATTTGTAATTTTAATTCAAATGGCACAAAATTTCTTTTTGATGGAGAGTCAAATGAGAGTTATATTTTCTATGTATGATATGCGTTTGAAAAGTTATTTTTTTAATTAGTATCGATAAGCTATATTATTTTTAATGGTATTAGGGAAAACAGGACTGACAGGACTTGGGATAACGGGATTCTAAACTCAAAGGGAGTATCGAGCTCGCAAGCGCTGAACTACCCTGCATGAAGAATATATTGTCAGATAAGCGTGGTTATTAACATTTCTGTCTCTCCGTAAGGCGTAAAAGTCCGATTTGCCTCAAAATTTATAAATGTGAAGTTTTTTGCGTAATTTAAGCTATTTAAACAGATCTTTCATGATCTTCTATCGGCCTAACCGTTATAAGAGTGAGAGAAATTGTATACATTATTCAATAATATGAAGTCTATATAATTTATTCACTGAATCGTGAATTGCATTTACCTGCATAAATGAGAACGACTCCAGAAGCGGCTTGGAGTGACCAATCACTCCTGATTGACATGTTCCTTTTCGAGAGCCGCATAACTAAGTTGTTCATTCCTGTGCTCCTTAGCACTTGAAAAAGTACGAAATGCGTTGCTATGAAAAGTTAAATTGTATGATATTGCTATTCCTGAGTCCCGTTAGCTTGCTAATTTTTAAATATTATTGAAATGGGACATATTTTACTTGCTTCGAGAACTTTAGTATCAACATAGGCAACTACCAGTAGATTTATAATTGTTTTGCAGTTAGTAATGTACTTTAGCCATTAATTTTATTGGTTTTGAGCCTTATATATTGAGTTGGACTTGGAACTCAATCAATCTTAACGAGAAAAATAACTTCACATAAATCGCATTTTGAATTATAGACGTCGTCACTTTGTAGGTGTTGTCATATTTGAGGTAAGTTAGAGACAAAAATCCTGTGATTCGCTTGTACAGTGTAAACGCTCAAAAAATTAGCACACACTTGAAGGAAGTTTCATAGCAACTGAAGCGGTGTGAAGAAAGTCCGCCTGGTTTATAGGTCTCGTGAACGCTTCATTAGGAGTAAAAGCAGAAGTTGTTACCCTCTGTCTAGCTCCTCGAAACTAATTAGCAGAAAGACGTCATGCGGCATACGGACAACTTTTGGGGGCTTAAAGTCGAAGTACTTTTTCATTCTTATTGTAAATTTACGTCATTCATGATCAGGCAACGATATTGTTAGAAAGCCGGCGCACTTTACCTTACCCAATCTTTTTTTTTATTGCACATTTAAAGGACACAATTATCGTCATGTACTAACCATGCAACGCGTAATGCCTAAAATTATTTCTCTTGATTATTACGCTGTTCTTTAAATAATGAAAGTATTAAAAAGGAGCCTGGATTTTTTATATCAATCTGCGAGAAATTTGTTGCAAGTTATTTTTTTCCCAGGCATGAAATTTGGCTTTTGTAATGGTGGAAATATCCCTATTCTATTTTCACCAAACTTAAAAAATATTCTGAACCTATGTAAATAAATATGTTTTGCTTCAGTGATTAACGCTAAAACGCAGGAGTAATTTCTTGTATGTTCTTGTTGAAATGTTAAAAAAAGATCATGAAAATATAGGATTTATATTCTTTTCAGAAATATTCTTTATTTCGGTCAGGCCATATGAAGCTAGCAGCATGTCGGTCTCAAAGCTTCAGAATGACGTTCATGATAGCAATTGTTAGTGTTAACATTGCCGAAGGGCTATAGATTTCCAAGCAATTAGTGACTAGGTCGATAGATTTACCACGACGGAACTTGCAACTCGCTAGCTTCCGCAGCGCGCAGTGAGCGCCGGCAGCTTCTAGCGCAGTCCTTCCGTGTTACGCAAGCACTTATTTCGAAAGTCCGACAACTGCTCTTGTTCTTTAACGATACAGGAGGAGTTCTTGGAAAAGTGGGAATAATTGAAGTAAATTAGTTGATCATTCGACGGGCATGGAAAAATTTACTGGAATTTTTACATTAATGAGATAGCTGTTCCTTTATATGACCTTCTTCTAATACAATACAATAAGAAGAATCGGGCGTAACAATAATGCCGAGGACATTGATATTCTTACATTAAGTTTTACGTGGGCGATGACAATGGCTTATTGTTATAATATTAAATTTTTGAACTACTTCTTATAGATGAAGGCCGTAAACATTTTCTCGATGTATTCCAAATCGAGCTTAGTCTTATGAAAGTAATTGAAAATCTCGCTCTCGCGCCACGTTTCATTTCAGGCAGCGATGACGTGGTACATCACACGACACATTCACCATTTCATACAATATTCACGTCTTTTCTTAAAGCGAGACGGAATATTTTTGCTCACCCTGCACGTCACTAAACACAAGCCCAGGCTGAACGTCACTCTAACACTCGCTCCACTCACCCTGAACATCACTATGCGTACACACCCCATAGGTGCATGTCATCCTGATGCTCACCATACACGTTACTCTACACACCCTGTACGTCATTACCCGCCAAACAACTAATATTGAAATATTATTGATTATTAAACGTTTTTTACTTAAATCAACCTGAAATCAACGTTGTTTCAACGTCAGTTTTCCTAAGGATAGACGCAGCGCGTGCGGCGGTGCAAACGCGCCAATCGCTGCCTCGGTGAAGGTGTGCGCCGGAGCTCGAGGTCGCGTCAGCCGCTCGTAGTGCAAGCGCCTGCAGTGCCCGCCGCTGCTGCGTGGGCACCCGCACCTCCTTCAGTAGTGGCCGGCACGTGGCCGTGTTAAGTGATGTGTAGCGCCCTCCTCCTGGCGAGATCTATATGCCCCTGCGAATAAGGATGATTATTGATGATTTGCAGGTTACGCATGTATTACAATTTTGATTTCATCAATTGTTGAGACGGAAGAGGATAGCTGCTCATTAAGGACACGGTTTAATAACTATGGGAATTATACGACAAAGGATTTGATTTCTTTTGGGAGTTGGAACAGTTTTTTGTGTTCTTTGAATTTGTTTTTGTTCAACAATTGTGTTCTTGCAAATCGGTGTTGTTCATCATCGTGGTCTGTCGTTCTGTCGATGGAACATATCGCAAATGTGAAAATTCAACATCAAGATTGATTGTTCTGCTAATTCAAATATTTTTAGACCAACGGGGATGGAACTAGCGCACTGATACATTTCTAATGAGTGAATTTTCATGCTGGCGACTCTAAGGTTTTACAATTTTCTTACGTTTAAATGAGAACGGAGAAAGTTTATATGAATTTGCATTTAATTTGACATGTTATCACTTAGGTGGTACAGTGTAGTCGAATAGATTCTCTGCTATTAAGATCACTTGATTTCTTAAATCGCAAATTCACCAAAAATGTATAGCAAAGAAAATAGACAAAAAACCCACGTTTGCATTATAAGAAAAAACGTTTCGGAGTCCAGCTCCAGTGATTTCTAGGTTTTTGAACTGACAATGGAGCTGGACTCAGATATGTTTTCTCTTATAAAAATAGTGCATTTTTTTGGCTATTTTATTTTCTTTTAAATTCTTGGTATTATCTGAGTTATTTGAAATACATTTTTTTGTGTTATTGTATATGTTGTGCTTTTAAGCTTTTTTTTCAACCTTTCAGTCGCAGCTAATACCAGAGGGCATGTGAAACTCTAATTGAGCTTCAACACGAATTGCGGTAGTGCTTTTTGCACTGCACCCAGTACAGCTTTTTTACGTACATTGAATTTAGTTTTTTCAAAGTGAAAATTTCTGCAAATTTTTCTGCTCTGCCTGGTAAAAGACATTCTGAGAACATAATTAAAAAAAAGAATCATTTCTTCATCAATGAAAAAGTCTGGAAAATTCATGAACAAAATTTACGAAAAATAGAGAGGATAATTTTTGAATAAGAAGTTTGATCGAAAGACAAGAGATTCTGGTGAGTAGAGCTTCTTTGTTAGCAAATACTTTCCGATGTTGGGGCACGACTGCTTTCATATTGGGTCAAATTGTGAGAGGTGGTTGCTGAGACGGGTGATTGTTGTCATAAAGACGGTGGATGTGGGTTTAATTGAAACATATGATCAAGTCTTTATTTTTGGCCAAGTTTTTCAATAGAAGCGTGTCACTGGGCTGAAATAGAAAAAGAATATATGACTTAAAGCCGTAAAAATGACGGTAAGCTAAGCTCTGCCAGTTCCCAAGAAACTTTGGGCGGTTAGGAGTGGAAACATTCTTTAAATTTATGCTGAGAACTAGTCTTTCAAAGGCTAGAAAAAATTCATAAAAGTCCAACTTAAACATACTATATATGAATTCTAACGTGTTAAACAAACTAAGATGCGAGGTTTGAATTCTTACGGTAACTAAAAGTTTTCTTTTAATTAAATTTTATCAATTTGAAATGAACTTGATAATATACAAATTAATTACTTTCACAATGATGGTATTGTTCGATACTTATCGCATGTATTATTATAAAAAATTGAAGTATATTCACTAATAAAAAACTAGTTTCTTTACACGGAACAATTACAGCTGGCCTCTAATCAAATTCGGTTTAATTGAAATATTTTTATATGGTTAATTTCGTCAGTAATTATAATGATATTTCTGTTTTCCACTCAATACATGAAGGATATCATTCTGAGTACCTGTACAATCATCATGTTCCAGCAATGTTAAAAATTTCACTCTGTAAATTCTTCGCCTACCTTGATTACTGTGTGCTGTGATTGTTGCAGTGATGGTGCTGTGATTGTTGCAGTGATGTGATGGCGGTGTGATTGTTGCAGTGATGGCGGTGTGATTGTTGCAGTGATGGCGGTGTGATTGTTGCAGTGATGGTACTGTGACGGTATCAGACATTAAATCATTGCACGCCAGATTGTCTTTTCAGAAGCTCTGGTAATAGAATATTTATGCTCTCGTTTGGACTTATTTCTGGTTCGTTTTTTTTTTAATTTTCGCCTCATAGGGAATCTTTTGTAAATTAGAAATTATTTTACTTTAATAGTGAGTATATCATTAAATTTTTGAGTAAATGATTATTACTATCTGAATATGTCCATTGTTCATGTTAGATGTTTTGTATGAGCAATATTGTCGTAGAATATATTGCTAATATTTATTTGATTTAAGAAGTAATACGATTAATATATATCACATTGAATAATTATTATTTCAAATTATACTGCCATTATATAATATCATTAATATAATTAAATATATATTGATTTATTATATTAATTTTTTATATTATATCATTTAATAGGTATTATTTTACATATTATTAATAATTATTTTATCGTAATGCCTGAAACTAGCTCCTTCCATGTTTCTTAAAATTATCTAAGTGATTTTCGATGTTTATAAAAATGAAAGAAAAATTTAAATTTTAATAATTTCCATTTTTTAATTAATATTGATGTGAGGTCTTCTAGATTCATGCGGCAATGGAAAAAATGTTAAGTAGGTCATATACACGAAAAAGCTCTCCAAAAACTGCATTCATAAAATTCACTATCGCTTGTGGCTTTGCCGCTTCTTTGTGTTTCTGGGTTCACTTCTGTGCGACATTGTTCGCCACTGAAATTGTCAGTTGTGTCAGACACCATAAAAAGGAAAATAACAAGGCTTAGCCTCGCATTTGCTCACCACAAGCGATTGGATGGGGAAACTGGCAGTTTATTGTGGTAACCTCGCATCAATGAGCAAGGTATTGCATTGCACAACACAAAAGATCCCCACATAAGTCCCCCTCATGGCATGCAGTATCGTCGTGAGTGGTATTTAGAATTTCGTCAAGTTTCGTCAGTTTCCTGTCCGTGAACTGAACGCTGAGTTCAAGTACGAAGAGAACGGCAACTGCCTAGTTTACTGGGAAAATATCTATTTTTTATATCTTTATTAAACACATTTTGAGCAAATTATTAAAACTACAATGAGCGAATTATTACAATTATTATTATAATTAGCGAATTCTTGAAATTATTGTTATTATTAGCTAATTAAATTAAAATTATTATTAAAATATTTATGTTCACATCTCGAAGTTTATGCGTAGAAAATTGAAATAGGACGATGTTTCTACACAAAGAAAACATGATACTGGGTCACTTCTGCATGCAAGGAGCCCGTACAGAACAATGCGTGATTGCAATCTGATTCGGTATAGAACGCATTCGATTGCCTTTCTAATATTCTATTGAGATTGAACACAATATTTTAAAACAATGATGAATGGTCTCGGGTAAGTAACTTGCTATTCAAATACAAATTTTAACACATCCTATAGTTAATATAGTGTGTAGTGAAGAATGAGTATTGTTTACGGATATACATAAATGTGTTTGCATAGAAAGTGAAATTTCTAACATACATCAATTTATCACGAATAGCTTGAATATGGTGCAAAATAAATACACTGTCATCCCACAAAAATATATTTTTTCGCTCAAATTTACTAGAGCCATGAAATAAAGTGAAGTGGTATTCTCTCGTAACGCCAAAGCAAAACTTTCGTCTCCTACCCTCACATTGAGGCCTTGTTTTTGTCCATCATCTGCCTAACCTGCTTACAAGTGATACTTGTTGATCCGTAATCTTATTTTTTTGTAAAAAATAATTTTTCACGATTTTATCCTTTGCTCAAATCAAGACCCAGGCATAGGCATAACCAAACATCTGCCATCTATGCTCATATTACGCCTTCTTGAGTCTCGTTAATTAAACATAGGCCAGAAATTGTTGCGAGAAAGTGCTCAGGAGGCCACACTAAAATTTTTTATTCCTTTCTAAATTCAAAGCCAGTGCATTTTCGTGAGGATCTGCATATACAGTATGTATTTCATCAACGCGCTCATTGGCCTCGTCGATCATAAGTATTCATTTCCTTCTTCCAAGGCCTTCGCTGGACTACACTATGCCCCTTATTATTCTTATTCTTACGACCCAGCCTTTGTCTGCCCTTAACTTTTGACTCTTATTCTTGTACTGAACTTTCGAGCGATTGTGAGACGCAGGTCACGTGTTCATTGACCTCTTGACAGCTCTCAAGCACAGTGTGCATGCAACGCTTGCACGGTTTCAACTCGCAGGAATTCAGCAAAAAATTTTCTTTGCGTTTTTTGCATGATTTGCCTCGAACACAGACAGTGGTCTGTAAATCTCGACAAGATAAACAGAACCTGTCAGTGTTGGTATAATTTTTTTACTAAATAATTCTTATTTTGCATCTGGTGTGCAAACAAAATTAGGCCGCGAGTTTTTAATGCAGAAGGTCATTGCTGGTCGCTGCGTGTCACGCTTTTTTAGATATTTTCTGGGCATTGCTCCACCTCTTGCGTTATGGTTGCTCATGCGTGTAGCAAGGACGACACAAAACATATTGCTCATTTCTTATATATAACTTTCATTTGTGCAGCCTTCGTTATAGCTGGCGCAGTGGCGAAAAATTGGCATCACTATGCTGTATGTTGCTGTTGATATCTCATAGCCTCGATTCGCAAATTTACCAGCATGCTTACCTTCACTTTTATTAACATTACACATTCATTCACTATAAAATCCTCGATTGCCACTACTGTGGGATATCAAAGTAGTGTTGGTCTTCAAAACAAGTCTTCAGAGACCGCAACGCGCTGCAAGAAGGTATCCTTGATACCAGCTGCCGGCGACTTGGCGAGAGATGTTTTATCAGGCTAAGGGGACCTTGATTAGTAGAAGGTGCGTAGGAATAGCATTACAAGCAATCGAAAAAAATATTTTAACAGGCAGTAGAATTTAAAATGGTGATCGTCAATTAGGAAATTTAATGATGTTAAAACAAGGGGCTATTGTTTAGACTTAATTGTTAAAAAGACCAGTCGGTGACGGAGTCCCTAATTGTCATTACTTGGAACTAGGATAAGTTTCAATTTTACACGCCTTAATGAATCTTGCATAAACTGGGAAATAACGTCTTGTAAAAATATACCGTTCTGTAAATGATTTTTGTGTGTCAATGAAGTTATATTTAATTATTACCATTATGAAGCAGTTGGTACTCCGTTTGAACGAGAAACTTATCTATACACGATCACTTTATGCCGCCACATTGCATAACTCGGCGTCAATTTGGATAGAGGCAAATGATTGCGTGCAGTGGAATTGGAATTTACACCTAAGCCTTAATTTGTACCGCATGGCCTTGGACTGAAATCATAAAAAAGTGATTATATTGAACAGGACAGGCCATCGCACAGCTCAGTATTATAGGAGCTCTATGCTGTACTTACTCCCTTGGAAGATTTAGGGTATGGAACAAAAACATTACTGACGCATTAATCCGCCTAATATGGTTTAGGTACATTTATATTATTCTGTATCCCTAGTGCAATAAAATGAAAATCAGAAGTAATAGCGCGCTAAAAGTGGAATTGGGATCTAAAAGCCTTTCAAAAAGCGTTGGGATTTGAATGGCATAGCGACAGTATACGAGTTAATAATAACAATTCGACATTCTTCTCTCATTCGTTCAAAAATTCTGGTAATAATGAATCATGAGAGCTCCTTTCTAATTTGTTCATCTGGACGGGATTGCTTTTTATTGCATTGAATGCATCAGCTCCTTTCGGGTTCAAATTTACTCAAATGTTTCATATCACGCACTCTATAATAGCAGCGGGTAATGAGGCTATAGAGTTCGCGATACGAAAAATCTTTGCAGTTGTTCATGATTTTCAAACCTGTTTAAAAAGTTATTATCGACTTTTTCAAATTTTTTTGTACCGCGCCAGACGCAGTTACGAACAAGTATATGAAAAATATATACTTTATTTGTTTAATTAATTTATTTATTGCGACTGTGTAGAATTAAACAAATAAACATGTATATCCCCTGTATTTGCCAGCGCTGTAACACAATTGCTAACGTCACACGCTTCGTACATGCGCTTGTATATTAATTCGCAGACCTGTCTCACACTGGACTATATTTCGTGGAGCAAATATTTTTGTTCAAGTCCAAGCTAGAATAATTAAGCTAGAAATATTTTTGGCAATTAATTTAAATAACTATTGTAAGGTGGTTATATACACAACATGCATTCAAACATTCTTCGCCTGCCTGCCTCATCACACGTCCTTGCCCTTACGCCAAGTTTGGCCTTTCTCCCGCGAGGTCCAAACGCAGAAATAGTTTTTTTGACAATTTTTTTAGCCTTTTACTTTCTTCTCATCTACTGAAATGTTTAACCGGCTGACATTCACTTACATTCACAGTCTGAGGTGTGCGCAGGTCTTTTGGAAGAAAATTCAATCAGGCGCAAATTTACCTCATCACTTATGACATTTCTAGCTAATCAAGCTAGAATTGTACGTCAATGTATCATCCAAATAAACCCTAAAACGACACATATATCATAAAATATTGTCAAAAGAACAAATTTACTTAGTTCATAAGATGACATTTTATATAACCTTCGACACAAATTTATAAAAAACGGCTGATCAACTTAGGGTTATTTGCGCTATATTGATAACGCAGGCATTTTTACGCTGGAATATTTATAAAAAGTGGAGTTCTTCGTTAATAATTGTATGGTTATTAAGAAGCGATGCATTCTTTCTTGACATACGTTCCCGCATGGCATACCTGATCTGAATTGCGTTGCCTATACGCAGCCTGACGCGACTTACGATGTCTTCCATGTTACTGGGTTAACGCGGGAGTGAAAGTGCATAAGCTGCAATGAAAGTGATCAAGTAAGCAGCACACTTCCATGTCCGTACGTATAGTATTGGAAATTGACGGGCATTGCTAGCTTAAAATGCCTTACGCAACAATTACGACACCATCAGCAATTACATTCAATATTTATTTCAAGAGCTTCACGAGCTAATGAATGTAACGCCTCGAATGGAATTACTGAGGATATACTTATTCGAAAAAGGGAAAGAACCTGAATCGTAGCTGCAAATTATCACTTTATTCGTTTTAGCCTGCAATTAGCTATGATTTTTCCAAATAAATTATCTTTTAATTTAAAATTTTTCTTTTCTCATCAGCGTTCACACGAAAATTCACATTTAATTTAGTACTTTCATGAAACTTGTTTAGTAGACCGAGAGTTGAGGAAACAGAGACGGAGAACTAGAAACTAAAAGTAACTATTTTGGACTTACGAAAACGTAAGCACAGTTATGAAAACTGAGAGTAACTTCTATAGGGTCATGAAAAGTGAGATGCAGAACTAAGAGCTTGAGTAACTGTTGTGTAATTATAAAAACCGGGAGGTAGAAAATTCTTAAGAACCGAAAGTAACTCATATGAAATTTTGAAAAGGGAGGCACAAAATTAAAAATTTAAAGTGAATGATTTGATATTGTGAAAGACCGAACAGAGTTCAAAACTGGATGTAACTGTTATGAGGTTGTGAAAACAGAGAGGAAGAACCAAAAACTGAAAGTATCTGTTTCAGGGAAAGGCATTTCGCAACTCGTTGAGTAAACGCCAATGCTTGTAATTTACATACGTTCAACTATTTATTTTTTCTTCGCCTGATGTGATAGTTGTGCAGTATTTACAAAACTTACTAATGTCACAGCATTCGGTGGTTGTAGTGTAGTCTTTGAGAACAGAGCTGCGTTGATTTCGCTAAACGATCAGATAAACATGTTTTCACCAAAGCAGGGAATGTTTGTGTCGTGAGGCTTGTCGACAGCTCATCCTCTCATGTTGATTCAGTAAACAGAAAGCACGAAATTGGCGTATGAAGTTTAAAAAAGACAATTTTTGACCACTTAATCCTCGCTGGAAGGGAAGTTGCAGGAGGTGAGATGTTCTTGCCGAGTCATCTATGTGTGCAAGTGTTCTGTCGCTGCCGACTTTGCACTGCGCCAGAAATTTCACACCGACGAAGTTTGGTTTTTTCAAGCAATCATTTTTGCGATGCATGCGAGGGGCCAAGTGCACTTCTGGATTTAAGTTTTTGTCTGAAAATTAACCTTTGCCAAATTCAGTTGTAACCCCAATTGATTATTATGCAATAATTTTTTATTAACCGTTCTGAAACATAGAAGGCGCATAGCATTGATAACTCAGTAAAAACTGAAAAAAATGTTGTACTTCATATCCACGATCCCGTAAATTTAGTTCCATTCTAATATAACGACAAAATCACCATGAGAGTATATGTACTCACGAAGTATTCACTATGCATCGTGGAATAAAGTATTTGTAATAACGAAATGAATATTAACGACGATATTAAAAAGTGGCGACGATGAAGCTTTTTTCTTAACCCTCACCAGTTTTTTTTAATTTATAATTTTAGCTTAGTTGTAGCGCGTGAAATCTTGGTCATTTTGCGCCATATAATGGAGAGTGTGGTACAGATTTTCAGGGTATATGTACGCTGGTATCCAAGTGGGGAAAGAAAAATAATTCAATTCAATCATCCAATTGTATCGTTCATATTCAAAAATACTGAAATTCAATCTGAATGATAGGGTATAATAATTACTAAGTCCATTAGTTGGTGACTAGTTTACGATCTCTGCGAACATCATGTTTCCAATGACACAAGTTTTTCGGGAATGCAGTCGAAAAACGAAGTGTAAACCCATACGGTGTCCTTTCGCCCTTCAATATAATGCGAAATTGCGCTGAATTATACCCGGAAAAATCCGGCCGTTCTTTATATTTTATGAGCCCAGTTGATAGGTAGGCCGGTGGCCAGGACTGGTCTGCTCGAGGTGCCTCCGGCTGTGAGTGAGACTTGATCGTCCTCAGGATACCGCCAATGCAGCTCCACCGACAAAGCTCATGCATGCATCGTCACTTGCAGAGTTTGTAGAACAAGTCATGGTGTTTTTTCACAACTAATGTAGCGGCGCTTTCTTTCATAATTTCTATGAAAGATTTCTGTTTTTTTATGCATTTGACACCACAGATGCAAAATGTATAGCATATGCAGTTACAGATTTGACTCTTGCATGAGTGTCTATAACAAGTCTCGCCACCGCAACGTCTCGCCGTGTAAAATGGCGACAAAAGTTGGCTTTCTGTTCCGTTGTCGCTATGCGGTAGTCGCTTATCGATCGCCAAGCATCTTAGCTTCTTTGTAGATTGAAACTTTTATTTTTTGTTCAAATTGACTTAGTGATTGCTGCGTCTCGTGGGTAGACCGGTTATAATGTGAGCTGTATTCAAGAACATGCCAGTGAGACTGCGCAGTGCTTGTGACCAACAATTAAATTACCTGATCTACCTCTCTTCAGTGAGCATTTCAAGTATATTATAAATTAAACCCGCTGACACTCTGTGTCAAGAATTGACAGCTTTCTTATGGAAATGTATGTCCTTTTGGAATAAAAGAATCGTTCGCGACGACCATGAGTGACTGAAGATATGGTACCTGGCAGCCGATGATTTTCGAAGTGAATGCCGTTAACGAACAGGGAAGGTCGCAACGCTCACTCACGGCTGAACTCTTTTTCGTTTCTTGCATCATTCGTCGACTTTCGGTGGTTGTGTAACGCATGACAGACGGCGGTGTAATCAGAAACGTACATTATTGAAGAATAATTAATTCAGACAACAGAATAATTAAAACTAATCATTTGGGTTTTATAGTATAGCTGATCTATTATTTGTCGATATGGCATTCTTTTTTTTCCTCCGAAAACTCACTTATAAAATCTTATTTTTCTACGTCGGATTCTTTCCCTATATTTGCAAACTTAAATAACTCATTAAACACTCGTTAAATTTAATTCTGAATGCAAAAAATTAAAACCTCATTTGATGTTAACGTAAGTAATGGGTTACAAAAATTAGCATCGCAGGGGTTAGCGAAGCAGGTCGTCCAGAATGTTTTTGAGTGGACGTTCTCCAATACTCGGCGCTTGTTTTTCTACCGGAACACTGGATCAGACACAAGGCTCAAAAAACTCGCTCATCTTAGAGAAAGGAACTTGGAAGTACTTACGTGTTCCAAGACCTCTGTCATGGTGCATTGGCTCATGCCAGTGTGTCAAGCGCAACGTGCTGAATCATGCATCCGCAAAGTAGACCTTAATATATCTGTGTCATCGATGGCAGAAACTAACCTTCAATGGATTGGTTAGAATAAAAGTGTATTTGAAGATTTATCCGCTATTTTATACCACTATGACAAAGTTTCTAACCATGAAAGTATTGAATAAACTGCTTAACTGGTTTCTTCAGTCGAAACTGAATAAATGATTTTATGGTGCCAAATTCTATCCTGCTTGAGTTCTGTGATTCGTATTTGTTCTGTGATTCAAGTACGACTTTATTTAACATCAAAATGTAATGTATCTAACACAACTTTTTCCTTAGCCACTGCATCAATCAAAATTATAATAATTCTATGTTTTTTTCTTTTCAGGAGCAGTCATTCTAGAGCAAAGTCTGACCTCATTGAAAATCTGAGCAGGATCGACGCCGGACAAACATCGGCCATTTATAGGACGCTGATAATCGCCTTCGTATTTTACAAACGAATAGTTTTCTTCAACTAATACAAGATGATAGTGAGATGGATGGTCCTTGTTATCGTCCTTATTTATGTTCTCCATGGTAAGTAACACAACGTGTACATTGTTCGGTTGCGATCATCTGGAGTGCACACGAAAATATTAGAGTGAAAGGAGGCATGTCCGCGATGTTAGCAGCTACAAGGAATCATGATTTTTTTAAATGATGAATGAGTATTTGACTTACGGTCGCATACAGAATGGATTTACTAGCAATAGAATGATTTGAACAATTTGTATAGAAGTGGCCTTCTATGTATAACCTTGATAATTAACAGTACCGCGAGCATCAAAACCTGTGCATACTAATTGCCGATGCATTTTTATACCAAGTTAGTTTAAGCTTTTATTTCATGGTATTTTGTGCCACGTTGCATTTCTTTCCAAGTTGAAAGTATCATAATTTAAACAGGATAACGGAAGTGTATTATTGAATATCAGTAATGCAGCATATTCTTTAGTGTCGAAAACCAACATTATGAAATTATAAATTTTTTAATTTTTTTCATCGTAGGCCTAAGCACTTTTTATACCCATAAAAATGTATTTTCACCTTCAGGTATGGTTTCGGGAGCACCGCGCCCGAGGCCGGTTGAGGTCCTGGGCGGCTACTCCAGCGTCAGCAAAAGCGTCACTTTCACTAGACGAATGGAGTTTCAAATGGAGAAGGATCAGTTGCTAAATCAAACAACAGGCGGTGATAAACTTGGCATAAACAATATTCTAATTACTGATACTACAAAAGACGGTAAAAAGTCGCCTCAAGTGAACCACAGTGTGAAATTTTCTATTGGGGCCGATATAGAAGATGGTGGCGATGGAGAAATGGATCCACCTCTCATAATTCCGACAAATGACATGAAAGAGATGAAGGAAATTGCCGAAAATGGAATAAAAACGCCAACGAACGTTGAAGCCATATCATCGTTTACAGAGTCACAAGTAAGTCCCAGTGGTGCTGAAACCGCAACGGAATTGCTTCCTTCAAATGTTGATGAAATAACTGATGGACCTACAGGCTTGTTGGAGAGCTATGACGACGCAGTATACGAAGACGTGGCTCCCAACGACGCTGGTAACCTTGCTGACAAAGAAGATTTTCCCTTTTCGAATGATCAAGAGACTTTGCCACTTCATAGGAAAGAATCTGGTGGAATTAGAGGCCAAGAAAACCAAAGTAAAATAGAAACCAAGCTCGATTTCGAGCACAGTTTGCATGAAGATTCACCCCACAATGAAAACATTTTCACACCAGCCACCAATAGCTACCCGAACGAAGATGAACGTCAAGATCCGAGTGTTGTTATTCAAGAAGTAATTTCTGCAGATCTAATCGAAGGATTGAATTCAGAAGATCGCACGAAGGAGCTAACATCGAATTCTACTCTTAATGATAAAATTGTCCAAGAATTTGCAAGGTCAGCTATGATTGAGGAATCTAGAACTGATTCAGAGCCTCTGAACGAAGAATACACTGTAAAAATAGAAGACGGTGGTGAAATGGAGAGAAAAATGTTAGAGGAAAGACGTTTCGCTGATAAGGAAACTCGCAGGGAACCACATCCACAAACTCTTGAGTCATCCACTGTTCCTAGTAACATCAATAAATTGCCTGAATCAGCAAACAAGGGAGAATTGTTTCCGTTGGACATGATTACAGAATATTATGACTATGATTCTGAGGGCGTGAGGGAATCTGGAGCGGAAACACTGACCACTGATCAAACACCTTCCGTTTCAATGACTGAGTTTTATGACCAATTGACGGAAACAGACGACTCTGCCATATCTGCTACTGAAACAAGTACGGAATCCGAAGTTAAGACCACTGATGATATTAACAGAGTGGAATTGCCTTCAGTCAAAGACGAGCGCGTAAACGAAGACGAAAAACAAAGTTTTACATCGTCAGCCCCGGAATATGATAGAACAGAGACTTCTGGAGATAATACTGAGGAATTAACGAATAAATATGAAGAAATGAAAGCTGATTTAGGAATGACCACAAACAAACCAGTGATATCGCCTACAGTGGCCGCGGTAATAACGTCTTCAACGCAAACTGAACCTGAAGAATTAACCGAAAATACCGATTTGCAAGGGAATAGCGAAATGCTATCTCCTATCGCTAGCTTGGTGATCCAACGTGATGATGAAGAAGAGGCAATTAATGACAACCCACCAAAATTGAGTGAGGGATTGACCGATAACTTGCAAGTCTTTTTGGTTCAAGAACAGCCACCTCCTCTATCGAACGCTTCCATTTCAAAATCATTATCTGAAATAACTAGAGAAAACTCATTTGATTATTTTCCTCAATACTACACTACAGATTATGATTATTTAGATGAAACGGCAACCCAGTTCACGACCACCAAAGATGACCTGTCGAATTATGACTACACTTATTCTGAGGCGGGATATAACGGTACTACAGCTGGACCAGATGATGCTACTGAAACAATTCCTACACCAAGCATACACGATAATACCGAAGTACACAAGGCTGTATTAAATCCAGTCGCAGCAGACAAAAACAAAAAAGTAACTCCAACCACAGATGAAACCGTGAATTCGGATAATAATTTAGACGAATCAATCCTTGTCAAAACAACTTCTTTTCCAGCTAGTGCTGGGAAAGAAGTCGTCACAGAGCCCCTATCTACTGGCACCTCACAGGATGTTGAGTTGAGCTTTGACTACCGTGGTTTGCCCGAACTCACCGCTACACCCATGGTGGACGATGCAAACGAAGACTATGCATCGAACACCGAGGCAAACGATGGAGGTCCAGGCCTCGACTATGCCAAACTTCCCGAAGGCGCTAGCGTTGAGATAAGAAATCTAGGACCTGATTATATATTAGAGAATTTATCCACCCCATCCAATTTAGCTACTGTCGCTCCTTCCGCCGCACAGAATGAAGACAACGTCGAATTCGTTGCAATAGGACAGCCGCCTTCGATTGATCTTTCTTCAATAATTTCTAATTTAGATTTTAGCCAAATTGACTTCAGCAATTTTGACTTGTCAGGGCTTCAAGAGCAAGGCGCATTGCCTAGCAATGAGAGTGCGCCTGCTCTTGAAAGCTCGCCTCAATTTCAATTTGACAACATTGATTTGTCTAAATTGGCAAGTGACTTGGGCATCGCTAACTTTAATTTCAAAAGCTTACCTACCAACTTCAATGTAGCTAGCCTTGATTTGAGCAAATTAAATTTTGGAAAAATTCCTTCTTTGGACTTGCGAAATGAATTTAGTGCTACCAATGTTCCATTTCCACTTCTCAGTAAGTCCAATAGAGAAAATCAGCATTTTTCAAATTTGCATCCTGATAGTGAAATGGCGGACGCTTGGCCTCCAAGCCACTATATCACGAGTACAAATAGCAGCAATGATGAAGAAGAGCTCTCACATTTCTTTATTCAACCGTTCGATTTATCGCAAGTTAATTTAAACTTAGATCGCGTGTTGGGTCAACCTCCTAGCTTTAGCCATGCTCATGCCGCCCCTCAAGAAGAACATCGCAATCCAGTATTCCAAGTAGCAGATTCTCAACATTTTGGTAAACTGACTCCGGAAACACATTTCATGGTGATTGATAATTTCAATGGAGGTAATATTGAGGATCAGGTTCCAGGAAATCAGCAGGAGCCGAGAAAAATTATTCAGTCTAGTCTTTCAGCAGGAACCTTTCCTTTCGCATCGAAACTACCTAGTCAAAATAATTTTGAACACTCTACTGGGGTAGGAAATTATGATAACTTGGAACTTCAAACTCAATCAAAATTTCCCGAGCCGAATACTGTAAATTTTGTCCACCCCTTACATTTGTTACATACCGAATCAACGCATCGCTTAAGTGATCCAAGACAACCGGGTTTACAAGATGGAAGCGAATTAGATGCAATTTATGAAGATTATTCTGACGGAAGGACATTTGGAGAGAAAATTCCTCCCGTAAATCAGGCTCAAGACTCTGGACGTCTTATATCATCCTCAGACATCGGACCTTTCACTAACATAATCAAAGGGCCTCATTTTTCGAATATTGACTTCTCTCAGGTTTTTCGTAATGTAGACCCAAGTAACATTGATTTAACTAAAATACCTGCGAATTTTAGTCTCGGAGGTATGGATATTGGCAAGTTAGTGAGCTCAATAGACTTGAGTGGAATTGATTTTTCAAAGATAAATTTTGCCGAACTGGACATCCCAAAAATTCTATCAGGGTTGTCGATTCCATCAGATGAAAAAACAGTTTTCGCCACTCAGGGAGTGGACGAAATTGGGAACTATGAAGCTGTTCAGAACTCCAAAGGAAATATTATCGAGCGATCAGTTCCTCCTCCTGACACAACTTTAGCCAGAAAAGTGGAATCTTCGACGTGGATAACAGAAAACGAAACCGATCAGAAGGTTCTGGATGATCTTGGGATATCCCACTTCCTTACGATGGCAAACTCGATTTCCTTGGATGGAGGAGAGTAAGGAATTAACTATTTGGTTATGCCATTGTAGGAGTGCACGTAGTTAATTTTTGTCAAAATTATATAGACAGGTTATAATGAAATTTCACGATACCAACCAATTATTTATAGCACGGCATAAAATTATTCTTGATTAAGATAAAAAATTTAAGGAATTGTAAAACATTATTTTTTAAGTCAGGGCTGTATATTTATTTGAGATACCATTTGTGGCTGAATGCGATGAAATTCTTGGCTCTTAGCATTTGAGGTTAGACTTCCTTGCAGATTATTCAATATTGAATGACTTGATTATTATTAACGTTTATCTCTTCCCTCTCCCGTACAGAAGCAGCAATTTCCTAATGTGTACAATGTGCAAGACGGGCGTCGTTACTGGTCGGAAGCTCATGACGGATCTCGCTAAGACTGACAGGGAGATTCTATCACTCGTCATCTACATCTGTATCGAATTTAAGCTTCTCCCTAAAGAAGTGTGCCGAGGAATCATTAATAATGTTGGGGTAATACATTTGGAGACTACGAGCCGCATGTCTGATTTATTGACATGAGGGTATATTATTTTTTTTTTTGTTAAAACTAGAGATTCAGTGCTGTCCCTGTTTTTATTTATTCCCTTTCAATGTCTTACTGATTTATATATAAAGTACTATGATTAGCAGCCCATACATTTTTCTCTCTTCAATTACAGTACGAAGTGATGTACGTGCTGAGAACGACGCAGCACAACCCGGAGGTGTTCTGCAGTATGATGCTGGCGGGCACGTGTGAAGACATCGCGTTGCCTAGCTGGACCATCGACACGCTGCCCAGGACCAAGAGTCGCCCTCACCCCACTGTTCCCGAGGTGGGAAACAGTCAATACCAGTCAATGTTTTTGTTATTCTATATTCCAGAATATTTGAATATTGTTTAAATCATACTTTTTTCAGAAACTACATCAAAATTTTTTTTAGAATCCTGCAACCTTCTATGACACAGTATAAACGCATGTGAAATTTAATTCAACGGAAAATAAAAAATGCAGAAAATTATTACTCCGTCTTATACGTCAACTATAGAATGAATAATTGCATGAGATAATGACTTTATCCTTGGCCTAGACACAAGCATTGGGCGACTTCCTGATTTTGCACATCTCGGACCTGCACACGGACCCGGACTACACCGCGGGCTCGGACGCGGACTGCGACTTCCCGCTGTGTTGCAGGAACTCGAACGCGAGGGAGAAGCGGGGCTACAGGAGAGACGAGAGCGCCCCCAAGCGGCCCATGGAGGCGTTTGCGGTCTCGGTCATGGCCAACGCTGATGACCCCAACACAGATATACAGAGGTGATATACTGATATTTTAGGTTGTGTTCATATAGTTGATTGGAAGTGTTATTTAACTTGTAATAATTTATTTTGTGCAACATAGTTGATTGGAAGTATTATTTAACTTGTAATTATTTATTTTGTGCAACATAGTTGGTTGGAAGTGCTATTTAACTTGTATTAATTTATTTTGTGCAACATAGTTGGTTGGAAGTGCTATTTAACTTGTAATAATTTATTTTGTGCAACATAGTTGATTGGAAGTGTTATTTAACTTTTAATAAATTATTTTGTGCAATAATTGTTAATACAGCTAGAAAAATATTTTCTCTATACTGATTTATGGGTGTTTTCTCTAAGATATTATTTGATCGTGTAGTTTTTCATAGAGAAATCCGGAAAAAATCCATTATAAGTTCGAATTTTCTATTGATCGTTGTATAATTAACTTGTCAGCTATTTGAATTTCTTCTTTATATATATATGCATTTTCTCTCATCATTCACTTATATTGCAAATATTAACTTCATCATATTGAAACTACAAGAGAAACTACTTGCAGTAAAATATGGCTACAATATCTTTAAGCATTGTTAACAATAAATATTCAAAAATAGCTCGGGTTTTTATCAAATGTGAAAGAAAGGTGGAACTTTAATAAGACATGAATTTTTACAAAAAAGGCAATGATCAGACTTAACCTGCGTTCTGTATTAGTTGATAGTATTCCGTTATGACGAGAAACGTGAAGTCTACCGCATCACGGTAATTTTTCTGTAGTCCATACCAAAGGAGACAGAAGAAGAGTTTATTTCCAGTGTTGTGTGTCTGAATTAACCTCTAAATTATCATTTCCAACAGTATTTCCTCCATGACGAAGTTCCCTAAATACGCTGGCCGCTGGGGCGCCTTTGGTCGTTGCGACCTGCCGCTGCGTTCCATTGATCGGATCCTGGAAGCGGGGGCAGACCTTCAGCCGGACTTGGTGTATGTAATAAACACTAATTTATTAAATACCTGATTATATTTTAGTTTAGGATGCAAATCATTATAATCAATGGAAAATGATTTTTTTTCAAATGCTAGGTACTCGTTATGGTCTTCTCGCTTGTCATGGCATGAATTTTAGGTTCCAAAAATTAGAAACGGCTGGCATCCTATATTACCAGCTCGAGAATCATTCAGACACTAAGAAAACATAAATATTTCATTCTATGTGTGTAATCACAGGTACATAACCGGCGATCTCCCACCTCACGATGTGTGGGTGCAGACGAAGGATTCCGTTAGGAGGATTAACGCCCTCACGGCAGAGCGCATCAAAGTCGCATTCCCCAACACGCCTGTGGTGATGACCGTCGGCAACCACGAGACATCACCCATCAACAGGTGGATCTCCGGGATAATTTTTACTGGTTTACATTTATGCATGTTCATTTGAATGGTTTATTGTGATAATAGCTAAAAGTGGATATTGGAAAGAGGCGAATCCATGAGATGTTCTTTTCAACAGAGATCTCACGGGAACCACTATAAACATGTAGACTGTGTGGTACATGGAAATAATGAGCAGCAGGCCCCTTCAGAGGCCGATACCTTGTTATCCAATCAAAGTATTAACATTAGTTTCTATATAAAATCCCAAATCATGGGAACTAGCAATTTCACTGCTGTTTATTTTCAGTTTCCCAGTGCCAGAAGTGTACGACAAGGGCTTCAACCCAGCGTGGTTGTATGAATCATTGGCTGAGCAATGGCAGTCATGGGTCCCGTCTGCCTCCATGCCTACCCTCTTGAAGGGAGGCTACTACACCGTCACGCCTTACCCTGGCCTCAGGGTCCTGTCCATCAACAGCAACTACTGTAACTCCATGAACTGGTTAGATCACCGCTCCTCACTTTATCGTGATAATTAATTAAACAATCTCTTAAAAATTAATTTTTAAGGGGTGATTTCGTGTGAGAACGGTGCTTTTACGTGAGAGAGTTCGAACAAAATCAAAGAAGGTCAATCTATTTGTTTGTTATAACAGCTTTTAGTTCTTCAAATCGCATGAATTTTGTGTTCTAAATAGTTAACTGACAAAATGCTTTGAAATTTTCGCTACCGTTCAGAAATCAGGAAGAAAAAGAAGGAGGGATATAAAAAATTCGGGAAATTTCATCGTCCAAAGTCCAAAAACATGTACATTGCAGAGATGTAAATAAAGTTGGTATGATCCCTGTTACCCGATTGCCTTCGATTAAAGCCGAAATGTTTATGTGTCAGGTGGTTGATGATCGCACATAAGGATCCAACAGAGCAGCTGGTTTGGATGGACCGGCAGCTGGCGGAGGCTGAGGCTGCAGGCGAGAAAGTGCACATCATCACTCACATCCCTCCGGGTTATCCCGAGTGTCTGCCCAGCTGGAGCAGACAGTTTGCTCGAATTGTAACCAAGTGAGCTTGGGTCTTAAATCCCAAAGTATTAGTTATTCATCTCCTCCTTGTGGGATATACCTAATTATCGCAGCTATGTTAAATTAAAGTGTAATAACTGATTTACAAAGACTGTGAAGATGCTGACTTCTCACCCGTACCACATTTTGATCGTTACACGTGGTAAGTGCGATGTGTTTTACAGGTACGCGGACATTGTGACGGGCATATTCTCAGGCCATCAGCACCTGGACCAGTGGGAGGTGCTCTACGATCCTGATGACGTCACCCGACCCACGTCGGTTGCCTACATTGCTCCATCGGCTACGACCTTCAGGGAGCACTCTCCCTCCTTCAGGACTTACTCAGTGGACGGAGGGCTTGGCAACTTGTCGTCATGGGTACTGAATTCATTGAGTGTTTTTTATTGTGGAGAGATTATTCAAATGAGTATAAATGTAAAACTATATCGTTGGATTCTTATACAAGGTATAAAATGTAACCTTCATTTTTTTCTGCATAAATTGCAGTGAACGCAATCATTGATTAAAATTCATGATGCATGATATGATGAGACAGATCCTATGCTATTCACAATCGTGCTCAGTAAGCCGGCTACGTTGTATTTTGACGACACATAAAAACTGTTTATTTCATATGATTTCAAATCTACTAGAATTTTGAATTAAGTCAATAAATTTGGGCATTTAATGCGCATGATTAGTTTTTTTTTCGGATGAAGTTGCACTGACTACATTCTCACTCGATAATACTTGACGCTACATCTTAAATTAAAATTCCTCTTAAGAAACTACAAAAAATACTTTTTCCAGGCTATAGTTGACCTGCACTCCGAATATGTAACCTGTTTCAATTCATCTATTGAGCCTCAACGCAATAATAAATCTGTAACGCTTTTCAGGAAGTGGTTATCTGCCATAGCTCAATTATTTTACACGATTTATTTCTGACACATTCCTCAACGTTTCTTCTAGGCTGTGGTTGACCACCACACCTACACTGCCAACCTGACAGTGGCCAACTCCCCCGGCAACATCCTCGAGTTCGACCTCCGCTACAGCGCTAAACAAGCGTTCAACATGAGCGACCTCAGCCCGCAGAGCTGGAGTGACGTGGTTCACATCATGGCTACTGACCAGCAGTTGTTTAACACTCACACACGGTGAGTAAAAGAAGTTGAGGCGAACGATTAAAGCTATAGTAATTGATGTGATGATCTGTTCAGTTCTCTGACATATTATTTTTGTTTGCAGAAAATGAATTTTTTCCAGATTTTCATGCGACGATTTTTGCAGATTCAAGCACAACTATTGGGCTGAGCCGACAGAAGTTAACGACTGCGACTTGGAGTGCAAGAGAAAATCATTGTGCTTCTTGGTGACTGGGGACTCCTCCAATAAAGAGCCTTGTGAAAGGCTCAAAAAGATCATTACGTAAACAATTTTCAAGCTCATTATAGATAAAATAAATATGTAGTATTATTAAGTTCTGTTTTCCGTGATTCATATCCTCAAAACACATTGAAAAATGTGTTTAGACTCGAAACACAGTGAGACTCGAATTGAAGAAATATACCTTTATCATGAATTATTTGAACCTAGTCTATTCACTCTTGACAAAAATGATTTAGCAAGCAATGTAGAAGTTAAGTTCCATTCTTTTGTCCGCATTTCAAGCTATGTCGTGGTCCTTTTAAGAGATTATCGAGGTCAATTTCTGTAAAAGCCTCGAAATTGAATGTTTCTAGGTTCTTCAATTGAAGCTCATCATTGTTAAAGAATTTTTAGCTTGCTTACTGATTGCTTCGTAAAAAAATATTCGGAATAGAATGAATCATTTTGCTTCTGCAAGAATATTGAATAAAATTCAAATCTAGACATGAATATTCTTCTAAGCCTTGCAGTATTTTAATTAATTGCTAACAAGACATAATCATTTGCATTGTCATTCTAATGGTGAATAATACGGGAGGCACTTACTTTCCCTCGCAAAATATTGAGCAAAATTAATGTATGTATTTATTTTAACCTACACCTTCTAAATATGTTATGGCATGCACTTTCATTTAGCAGATGCGTATCCTCGCGTATCAGAATTAAATTCCATGCGATATCACTCTGTAAATACTGACAGCAGTTTCCTAACTTATCATTAAATGCAATCAATTTATCATCAAATGCGCTGTAATCAACTGTGTAGAATAAAGTGTTTGTCGCTATCAGTGGTTTTATTCGGGCCTTATTTTGGAAACCGTGATTGGTAATTGGAACCGTAATTCTACAGCCGTAAAAAGTTGGAACCCTATTTATGCAATTGTTAATTATTCCAGCGCATTCCTTCGTAATCTTGAGACGGCGTTGTCTGAACTCATTAAGTTGCCAGGTGACAGTTAAATAGAGAATTTTTCAAAATGATAACTGCTGCATTTAACGATAGATTACGAAAAAATATAAAAAGAGTTTGAGGTATAGGTTGAATAATGTCATAAAGTGACATTATTCAAATGAATAATTCAAATGAAAAATGTCATGAACATTCTGTGTAATAAATAATACATATTAGACAAGTACGTACCTGACGTTGTTTAAGAATAAGAAGACTTGACTCAAGTATCATTCTATAACTATGAAATACTTTCATTGCTATAGTGAGTATTTTGCTTTGGGATATGAATGTATTTTTTACAAGTTCCATCGTAAGTGAATAAAAAAATTTTCTCGGGGTTGCCATTTTAGTTTAGATTCACCTTGCATTCAAACGCTACGAATGAATGGTGCAAAATTTCTGTTGACTTCAATTATTGTTGAGAGACGTTGCTCCATGTTCTGGTGATTCTGTGCCGTAGTTTAAAATGCTGGAGCTTCATATATTTATTGATTGAATCAACCGTGGAATAGACTGAAAATCAATTATAATATGTTTATTAAATGAAGAATTGGGACTATATAATAATTGTCATTCATAATGAATCTCGATTTCTTGATCAGTCTTCAGTTTGTTAACTCGATCACGACGTAGAATTAGATGCATGCTATCGTGAGCCTTCAGCCAAGATTATTGCATCGTAACTTTGGTATAAAGCAGTGCTTCTTGCATCGATTTATTTTCTGTTGATCATGCGCCGGTTGAAAGTCGATTAAAACTGATAGTTGTTGGCTAAAAACTAAGAGTTGGACGAAGGTTGGCAAACGAACTTCGGAAGAATGTGACAGATATTTTCATAGAGATGGCCATGCTAATTTCGCCCTTGATCAAAGTATTTTACTTCTGTGGTACTCCACACTGCGAAAGTTTTCAGTGTTATCTTCTTTTTAAAGTTTTTTTAACATTCAGAAATGAAATGCTACGTATTATTCTAAATCAAGAATTTTTTTAAAATGAATTTTGAAGTATTTGATTCGGATGAACATCGTCTCCCGATGCTGAAGGATTACCTTATTTAGTTCAATTTTTTCTTCATAGACCAGGTACCTAGTTTGACTGGCGTTCGATCAGTATTTGGCGTTGTATTTAGATCATAGATTTGGCCCAATTTGCTAAAATTTAATAAAAATGGCAACTAAAGTTAACAGAGGTTGCGTTCCTGGACTGAGCATCTGCCTTCTGCTCCTCTTCCACTGGTGAGTAGACATTTGACGATGGTATGTGGGGAATCGAGCGTAGGCTTACTATCTTTGATAGTCTTTAGTGGAGCAACATCTTGGTTGACTTTCATCAAAACTTCTTCGAACAACATGGCCGTACCTACTACGCAATCGTTCACTCGCCGATGATAGTCCGTTCGAATATATTGGAACGCTTAATTTGATTCTATGGGAATCGAAGGATGTTACAATGTCCCGGTGTCCGATATTGATTTTAGAGTTCTAGCTTCCATGTAGGTACGGTGTTTCTGACACGAATTTTAAAATCGCTCAATAGTTTTGAAAAAAACTTAGTTTGAATGAAAATTTGAATCCCATTCCTTTGAAATTGGTAATTGAATGGCCTTTCACCTCGTGTGCATTTGTTTTTTTGTCGACTTAGGTTTTTGTCTTCAATGTGAATTGTATTTTTCTAATTGATTTATTGAACTTCTAGGATTTTGAACTGACCATGGAGTCGGACTCCGAAACGTTTTCTCATTTATAGAACTGGTGAATTTGCTGGCTAGTTTCTTTGCTCTTAAATTCTTCGTGAATTCGCGATCTTAAGCAGTCAAGTGAACATACATCGAAGCAAGCATGGAAAACTTCTAACCTTAGGGCCGTGACTAGAGCTTTCCAACCATTTCCGGAACTGCAAGATTTCTGCCAGATGAATTGCCTCTTATATAATTAACAAAATTCACGATCGGGCCGCAAGATTCCAAATGTATCAAAAATTTGTCACATTGAAGCCGCGACATTTCAGAAACAAGTAGGAAAATTCTAATCCTGCCTCGAAGGATGATGGCTTGATGGGGTATCATGGTTCGGCATATGAACTTTATATATATCAAAAGATGACGTACTTGGATTCGGAATTCAGGTGGAAACCGTTAGAGGTTTTAATAATCAAGCTGCTCATGCCATTCAATGTTCTTCTTGTTGATATCACATGCAATGTACTAGAGCTTCTAAGGACTGGTACTACATGATGTGATTGAGACTTATCGAGTTGTACTTTATTTTTTCTGCATGCAGGAGGCTTGCGGCTAGCGCGGATTATGACGTCGAAGAAACGCTGTGAGTGTTCTTAGCGTTCGGATGCAAGACTGAGTTTAAAACTTGCCCAGCCATGTCAATTGGTTTCCTTCGATATGAAACCCTAAATAAGTGAAATGGATTTATGAAATCTGTTGACATTTCATATAGGTACATTTCCAGAATTCTTAGTGAGTGAATTTTTTTGTCATGCCTCGTGATAATAATTCGTTTTGTCAATGTTCATTTTGGATGACCCTCTTGCTAAGAACTTCTCTTCTTTGGTGTAGGAAGAACTTGCTTGCTTGCCAGGGGCGGGTACTGAGACAGCTTGATGTTCTATGCAATGAGCAGAACCAAGTAAGTTTTATACGTATTACTGTAAGTGCTCACGCCGAGCGTGGCGGTCAAAAGGATTTCACCGATGTATGGCGCAATGCTTAAACTGTGGATGGTCATTAATGGATTAAACATATGACTAATTAATTAACTGAAGACTGTTTTCTAAACTGCTTCAATACCACATACAGTACCTCCAGCAGTTTATTTTTGGTGTTTTGGTTTGGTTTTAGTTTATTGTAATGCACTTTATTCCAACGAAGTCAACTGTTCGTGCATTTTTTCCAATTTTTATTTCAGGATGTGAATGTAGTGCGGCAGCGCTTTGACGATTGCTTGGAAGAGAAATTTTCGCCGACTAACTTCGCTCTAAATGACATCCAGAACAATTCAGCGTATGTCGATGTTGTAGAGGACGTATCAGTGGTGTGTAACAGCATCACTTGTGTCCGCGAAAAAGTGCCTGAAGAAGAAATCGAGATTACGTGAGGAAATTGATGTTTTTTATAGACAGTCCTAAGTAAAAACGTAAATGCATTTATTGCCTAGATTTGTCGGATATAATAGAATTATTTACCAGAAAAACTATTGAATATTAAATTGACCTCTTGCAACAGATGCTTCTTTTCTAAGGTTGATTTTCCCAAAAATTTCATATAAAAACAAAGATATTATTCGCGAATTAAGGCTATTTTGAAAATGTGACGAATATTTTGGGAATCAAAAGGCAACGCACTTGTAATGGAAGCAATGCTTCAATTACTTTCTTTAAAATTCAAATCTGAATTATGAATGATCAATATGCGTGAAAAATGCGATGAAATGAATGTCTCGTACCATGTTGCTCTCTCAGACGCAATGACACGTTTAAGAATAGTGTTGCTTTTGAATTGGTTTGTTTAGACTTAGTATGACAATGACTTATTGAAAATAAATTACATTATTAGGACAAATCCGAACATACCGGCCAGAGATATAATTAATTTGTAAGTTGTCTGAATAATTGCTATCAGCTAATTAATGTTTTGTGTTCACAGTGAAGGAAATTGTCAGTGGATGATGGTACAGCGAATGGACGCGTTGTACTCGCTCACGGCTGAACTTTCTGCTCTGATCTACTCCGTACGTATCGTGGTGTCTGAATGTCGTCAAGAGGCAATCATACAGTAGCTGTTCTTTGAAAAGTAGCGAGTTTGCGTGGAACTTCAATGATCATACATACGTGCTCGTAATTTTCTATTCAAATTTCAAAAATTTGTAATTAGGGACTGGCAACATCATACGTAATTCCTTTCAGACACTGTCTACTTACTACGCCTTCTAGGTACTTCATTGCCGCTAAGAATTTAGTGAGTGAAACACTGACTCACCTCTGCATAACAATCAAATTTAATGCAAGCATTTGTACAAATCTTCAACTTGAAATAATTTGATACATGCACGATAACAATAATCGACAAGTTCGTGAATGCGTGTTCTCATGCTTCGTTGTTACAGGCTGCTTTCTACGGAACATACGCAGTTCTTATCGCTTATCTGCTCGTTAAGGGCAGATGCAATGTCTCGTTTTGCGTCGAGATGTCCTTGATATTCATGTTTGGCTTCATCGCGGAACGATGCAATTCCTTCTTTATGGAAAACCTCTTCGGCGCAAGCTCGGTGAGAATCTTATCCCACACTTGTTTTTTTAAATAGAGCCTCAAAAAAAAAGAATACCGGATAATTACGATGAAATTTTGATAGATAGTTGGAGTAGATTATGTATGAAAAGTAGAGTAGCTGATGCCCTATTCTTCTGTGCTACAATAATAAATGTCAAAGATGAACTATCTTCTATTGATGTCACGTTGCCATGGTTTACAGAAGTGATTTTTTTACATTTTCCAGAACTTGAAACTGAAACTTGCGTTAAGGGACAATCAATGTCAGAAAAATATCACAATATCCATACTTTATAAAAACTAGATTGCTGTATATTGGTAGGGAATCAAAGTATATGATCGACGATTCTATGGTTGGAGTTTACGGTTGGAGATTACGGTTGGAGATTACGGTTGGAGATTGCGGTTGGAGATTACGGTTGGAGATTGCGGTTGGAGATTACGGTTGGAGATTACGGTTGGAGATTACGGTTGGAGATTACGGTTGGAGATTACGGTTGGAGATTACGGTTGGAGATTACGGTTGGAGATTAATGGTTGGAGATTAAGCTAAGTTTTCGAACTCTTTACTGCAGGCGACTGTTCGGATGACGGAGCGCTGGTGCAAGAACTTCACGATCCTGGCTGCCGCAATACACTTTACGAGATCTGCGTTGCTTGAAAAGTTGAGTGACAAATCCATAATCTAAACTTTATGATTAAACCATATATTAAATTTGAACGGAATTTTGCTGTTTAGATTGAACCACCAAGTCTGTGTCTCTATGATTTACCGTAGAAAAAAAATATTATTAAGCCTTCGATGCGAATCACATTTGCACTTCTAAACCAGGAAGAAAATTTCTCGGAAGTCGACGTCGAATTCGTCAGTGGACAGGACAGCGAGCGTCGGCCGTTCATGTGGCGGAACGGACGTTAGTAGCGACCTCTCCTCAGAGAAGACGGAATCAGCTGCAGGTGCATATATTTCGATATATATATATGATATATTTCGATATATTGATACGAAATGATATCGATGATAACGAGTGATATAATCACTTCCGTTAACCTACTGCAATGTTTTTGGAATGGGATGGGTGAATATAAAGCAAATGTGATTCGCATCGAAGGCTTAATATATCAATATATACGAAATATATCATCGATATATTTCGTATTACCCGATTTGATCTTGGAACATTATTTCTTCTATTTCAATAAGAAATCGGGATATGCGAGCGCATATCTCATATATTTCAACAAAAAAAGTTTCCAACAGTTGCAGACATGATATTGATACCTAAGTTTGCATTTACTGCTTTATATTCACCCATCCCATTCCAAAAACATTGCAGTAGGTTAACGGAAGTGATTATATCACTTGTTATCATCGATATCATTTCGTATCAAATTGAAATGCCAGATTGGAATTTATTTTCGAAATTTAATCTGTTGTAATGAATGTAGTAGTGTGATAGACTTTCATAATAGAGTTGTGTAATAAATATTTCATAAAAGATTCCACCGAATTGCGGAATTTTACAAATTATGCGGATGCTAAAACTTTCAAGTCAAGTTTTTCATAATGCAGGCAATATGCGGACGATTTTTATTAAAGTTTTATATCAGGCGTAGCACGGACTCCTAGTGAAGGCGCTGCAGCGAGTAACGTGTTCTCTGACCTGCTGGCTGTTTTCATGAACTTCATGGACTGTGTTTTCATCGAGAAGAAACCATTGGAAGTGAGTGTTTTTTTTTTCAATTTATAAAAATACGTTTTGCAAGTATTTGTACATCAAAAATTTCGAAAGCAAATATCCTAGAATGAAGACCAAAAACTAAATAATAAGATGTCTAAGTTACCATTAAAATTGGATGTTTTTCAGTCGACCCGAGTAACTCCTTCGAGGAGTTATCAATAATTCACATTTTTACATGCACAATTCCTAAGTTTTCTAGTTGTATTGTGCACTAACATAAATATATGTTAGTTTTGCTATATTTCCTTTATTATTTTTTGATACGCAGTATTTGCAGATAAATTTTGCAATTAGTATTTCTACAAAAAGTATTTCTACCAAAAAATAAATGGGATTATCAAGGTTGTTCCCAATCAAAATCGTAACATGTTCGTTCAAACAAAAATGTTTCCACAGGAAAAATCAAAAGACGAACAACAAACCAGAAGTAATCCGAGAATCTCAGTCACATCACCTGGCACTCAAACCGTCATTTCCCCTGAAGAAAACGTCGTTAGGAAGGCAACGCCCGGCTTCGAAATTTTGAACAACTCCAACCTTTCGTTCTCCACATCAGCCGACCGCTTGTCTAGGCAAGAAAAAGAAAGGTTGTCGGTGTCCACGACAGTGAACCGTGGATCCGTCGATCAGTTATATTCCCCGGATGGTCAATTGGCAAGGACGTTAGAACCCACAAGAAAAACGTCTGCCTCTGATGACGAACTGCAAAAAATGTCGTCCAGAGCTAAGGGGAATAATTGTTTTGCGGAAACTGAGACCATGTCTTGCGTCGATGTTATTCCTGGAAATCGGTGTCATCTTGACAAAAGTTCCGAATCTCTTGAGGCATCTGATTTGGACACATCTAGAAGCTCGTACCAGGAGTATGTAGAGAAATTTGTTAAAGGAATCAACGATGAATTGATTCCTACTGACCCTGAAGACGTCTCTTTCTCCGTTGTGGACGAATCTGACGAAAGTGAGTCGGAGACTGACGAAGAAAATCAGGAGGTATCGGACCATGAAATTGAGGACCTTCAACTTGACCAAACGGTTGGTTTATAGTTATTCATTAAATGAAAATTTTTGAACCATTTGAATAAAATTTGTAATAGAGAGTTAGTTGAGGGTTTAGACTAGAGGAAAGTTGTCTGTTTACAGATAACCGTACTAACATAGATGATATATGTTCATGCCATCGTTTTCACTTCATTCAGTTGCTTAATATATTGCATTGAATTTTAAGTGTTTGCTGATCAGGCGATTATCGTATATACTTGTCCGAGAGATGAATGTTAATATAGATGATTATTTTGTCTCGCACACTATTAATGCTCGATTCAAGTTGCAAGAGGATATTTTGTCTTTATGCAAACAAGAATTATCATTTATTATTAACAATTTTGTAAAAAATTTTGTGAAAGAAATGTAACTTGGGATTTTGATAATGTTTGGGTCGTATGAGGTGTTTGGGATGCATGGGGTGTTTGGGATGCGCGAGGTGTTCGGGATGTATGAGGTGTTTGGGATGCGTGAGGTGTGAGGTGATTAGGATGCGTGGGGTGTTTGGGATGCGTGAGGTGTTTTGGGATGCGTGGGGTGTTTGGGATGTGTAAGGTGTTTGGGATGTGTGAGATGTTTGGGATGTGCGAGGTGTTTGAGATGTGTGAGATGTTTGGGATGCGTGGGGTGTTTGGGATGCGTGGGGTGTTTGGGATGCGTGGGGTGTTTGGGATGCGTGGGGTGTTTGGGATGCGTAAAATGATTCTAATTCCTTCAATTCTTGGAATGCTTGGGATTGCGGTATTGTGGGATTATAAAATTTTTGGTATCTATTCCGAACAACAGCATATTGAGCTTTTTAAACCTGCATAGAAGCGCAATGCCAAAAGTCATACGAGGCTGGGGAGCTTTCTAAAACTAGGCGAAGGCAATATTCTGTTCCAAGCACTTAGGAGATTACCAACCCTAGGAGATTTTTAACCAATTTTCCTTCGACTGTTTATCCACAGGCCCACTCCGAAGGACTGCAGGATACAAGCCTCGAAAGAAGTCAGCGGCTGAACCACTCACGTGTGGACTCGACGATGTCCACTTGGGGCAAAACTGCTTTACTGAGCGAATTGGAAGGAGTCGAAGGTATTCGTAGCTTATGTCTCGCGATTATTAGTACTTGTACACACAAATTCTCTTTCTTATTGTTCACTTTCACTCTTTTCTAGTGGCACCGCAACAACAACAAATTTAACACAAGGGTGAACAAGGAATTTTTCGTTTAATATCATGTTAATATATTTTTTTATTCAAGGATTCAATTTAATATTACGTGTATGATAATGCTGGTATGCACGTCTCCTTGGTCTCTCCTCGCAGTAACGCAAATCTAACACTTGCTAGCTTGTGCTGCTACCATCTTTGAACCATAGAAAATGGTTTGGTCGGAGAATGAAAATGGGTTGCATTCACCTAATATAAGTTTAGAAAACTTTATAGATTATAAGAGAGGAATCTAAATCTCGCACATCGTTTTACGCCTCTACAGTATTCACTGTCTCGTACATAGATAGTGTGCAGCGTTTTACACAGGTTTAGAGCTGTAAAATTGAATGTCCGCACTAGAAACTAAAAATAAAGTGGACATGAACTACGTTGCCAACGCATGTTTTTCTATAAACTCTCATTAAACTCGCTGATAGTTCATTCAGACAGCTGGCGTAGTTGCATCGTAGTATTTTTGTTAGTTTTAAAGTTTCCAGCTTCGTAAGAAGTGGTGTGGCGATTGAAATTACGCGCCAACTTGAGGCATATAGGAATGAAATATAATATCTTTACAAAAAAGTATAGGCTTAATTTTCATTCATTTTTCAAGTAATACGAATATTGCACTTGTGTAATAATTAATTAATTATCAGATAAATCTAAGCCGGATGACTGAAGAAAATCAACTCAAGCGGCTTTCATCTTGATGTGGAATGTCCCATTCTATCCTTTTTCGATTAGGATTGAAAAAATATTCAGTTTTTCTATTCAAATATTCAATTCAAATATTCAAATCTTCAATTTTTAAATATTCAATAACCTCTGGTTATTGGTCAATTGGTCACTGGGTTTCTTTAGTAAGATTAGCGGAAGCGGACGATACTTCCTCTTTTTCCGAAGGTTGCTAATGCGAAATATGTCTTAGTCATCTCGCGTCTCCTAAATTAACAAAATTATAATGTAAATACTCCAAAAAAATTTCGACTGCATGCATTTTGCGCGGTCAAATGGATTTGCTGAATAAATTTAAGTTTTTCAATCAGTTAAATATTCATGAGAATTATTCCAATGCGCTGAAGTCCTTAACATCCACAGACATCGCGATGACAACGGACGCTCCTCCAGACAGCCAGGACAGTTAGCGACCTTCTCTGTCTTCGCCTGCTCGTAGACATCTTCAGTTTCTTACGGAAATGTAGCTAGAAAATCTCTAGCCCATGTCTACGCGACTACTGCGAAGATGGTTAGGATCTCGACACCTAAAGAAAGGACCAAGGAATGAATGACCCCGCGGATCATTATACGACGACTGCCCGTCGCCGTTAAATTAACTCTCGTTGCAACTGTCGTAATGAATAGATCTAGCTATTCACAACACTCAAGATACAAATAATCTGTCTCTGATCAACGGTTGTGCTTAATGATACTTTGGTAAAATTTCTTGTGCATGTGCACTTCATGTTTGCTTTTGTACAAGATATTGCGTTTGTATTCAAATTAAATGTGTTCGAATTTGCTCTTGTTTTATATACGTTTGTGAGTTTTCAGGTTCTTTGAGGTGCGAACGTCGCATCTCTCTGGAGTCTCAAAGTGGGTCAGATTTTAAAAGCCTTAGAAAATTGCTTATTTTATTAGATTCATGTTGAAAACATTTGGAATCGTCTGAATAAATTAGTGGTAACATAACGAAGCCCTAACGTTAGATTCTTAGTTTGCGGGTGAACTTGTAAGATTGAACACGCAGCTCAGAGAACCTATTGAGGAACAGACTGCTGGTACAAGCGAGGCAAACTAAGAGCCTAAGACAAAGCATTTACGTAGAGCTGCTCACGTAAGCCAAAATTAGTACCCAAATTTAGGTACACCAGTCGAGTTTTTTTATGTTCAAAACTTAGCTCTAGCCACATGTACCGGATATCAACTCCCAACATGTTCACGAGAAGGCCATTGGTGTGCACATGGCACGAGGATTGTCGACTTGGCTTGAGTTCTTGCATTGTAATACAGTGCACAAATTTCATCCCATTTAACTCAACGTCTGCAGCCATTTTCATCGAATATCAACTGTCGGATTGAGGAACTCTGAGACTTCATTAGAGGTATGTGGCCATATTCTTCATTTACTAACATTTCTTGAGATTTAATAGGACTGAACGGAGTTGAAAATTTATGAACTGGCGCTCTATTCGGAATCTTTACGAGGACTTCTTGTATGATTCTATTTCTTTTCAGACAGAGCATTTTATTGCCTCAGCAAGAAATGCGAATCTTGACTTATGACTAAACAATTTAACCTAATGAAAATTAACTCGTGCTGTTTCCTGTCTTAAAATCCATCGAGTTTGGACGTCCGAATAATGGGAGGAGAATTCTAATGCGGACATCCCTTCCTGTTTTGAAATTCAAAGTGGCTGGGGTTGAGTCCAAATTTCTTGGTAAGCTCTAGGACCTTCTGCGTCACGGTCGGATCTGGGAATTGGTCCTTCGAAAGGAACCACAGGATCTCTGAATAAACACAGAAGAGGTCAATAAATAACATTGAAGAGCTTGAAAACTTGCTTGAAATATTTTGCAGCCTGCTATTCAGCATGCCAAATCTATACTTATACATTGATTAGAAATTCCTCGGAGGTGTTAATGTCGACAAGAAAAGTACAGCTCCCCGTACGATGTACATATATCCCGACCCCCCTGAAACTATCCTGTCGTCTACTACATGCCATAGGCTGTTCAAAAGAAGAGTAATATTGAGATTATAAAGATTAATAATAATAAAAATATTTTGATAATAATATTGATAATATCGGCTAACCTGTGTGGGCGACCCCTAGTGGCAAGTCTTCGCACTGCCATGCCAGAGCATAGCGCCTGTAGTCCGTTGCTAGGATCAGGTAGTGGCCTCGCAAGACTGGCAGAGATTATGTCACTTGGAATTTATTTTTTTGTTTAATAATTTTGCATATCATGAAATGTTTTTGCACCGATGGGTCTTAAGAGAGTGCAACCTAGTAATAAAGAATTTGCAAATAATTAGAAAAATATTCAAGGCAAGTAATATTTGCCCAGGGTCATTGGCGGCAAGCGTTTCAGTAGAAGAAAAAAAATTACTCTGAACTGCTCTTGGGTGATAAATTACCATTATGTTTAGTTAAGCATAATTTATTCTGAACTAGGAAATAAATTCTCTGTGGGTACTCACAAGGCAAGTTTGGTCGCTGAAGTTCGTAACGTATCAGTCCCTGCTGTTTATTGTCATGAACGATGCCGTTTTCTATATTGCGAATTCTCCCTGTCCTGTAGAAAATTATTGAGTCTAAACTGTGGTAATTTCCAAAGTTATGATAATGAAGGCAGCAGGTTAAATGGCCTAAAGTACATGAAAACTCGGTACTTACTCACGTTGAAGAAGTCCTATTTGCATGTGGTGAACGCGTTATTAATTCATTATTCACTAGCAGTGGCATAGAGACTCACGCTCACCCTCCATAGAGAATAACACAAATACTATTTTCATACAGATGCACTATCTAATTATTAATGGCTGGCATTAATTTTTTATAATATTGATATGTATTTTTTTGTGCGATAGTAAGATATGATGAACATACTAACAGGTGATCTTTCCACTCGAGCACCGTGAAGTGGCCGCGCTTGGGCGCGAAGTAGTAGTTTTCCACCCAGCACGAGCCTGCGAGTCCTTCATAGCTCACGAAGAAGCGAGCGATTTCGAACCACCGGCCCAGAAACTGAAAAAGTGAGGATATCAATGAACGTTGAAACTTCTTCGGGAAAAGGAATGAAATATTTAAGCTGGAACTCCTTAAGAAAATGAGAAGCAATACCATAAATTGTTGACAGTTAACCAAAAGCTATTGAGGCGAGAACTGACGACAAAGCGACAGTAGTCGTTACAAATTTGAATAAATTTCTAAAAGGTACCATATTGAATCCGGTACAATACTGTTTAAATTCGAATAAAATCAAAACAAGCCACTCTTGTTTAATAAATGCACGTTAATGAGAACTCGAATTTGCCCAGACACATGCGTGAATTTAACGTAAAAAATGCAAATTCTTCTGTAGCTAAGATTTTCTCTGGATATTAGTAAAATCTGAATAGTTGGCGACGCTCGTTCGAGTTCCGTCATATTAATGAGCTCATCATCTTAATTTTTTTGCACGACAGCATTATCTTCACACGAGTTACCTTGAGATGCGTTTAGAATGACTGTATAATATATAGGTATGAGAGTTGAAATCGTTCAACATTAGAACTTTCACCGATTATCGAATCGAGAAATTCAAATGCTCTGCGTGTGTCTCTCAGCCGCAACGCACTGCATCAATCTCGCATTTTTTTAACGTTTACTTGCTTTTTTAGCGCATCGAGATAGAGCAATGCACAATGATGAAGACTGAAAAACTATTCCGTGTGCTGCATATGAAGATCGTCATACCTTATTTATGACGAACTAAATGATATGTTTCATAATGTTTGGCAGATCCTGAGGCTGGTTTGGCACAGCTGACCAAAACTAAAAATGCCTGATTGACTGTCACCACGACGGTTGTCGTCAGTGGCTGTTCAACCGTGGAGTTGAATGGGTATGTGCGAGGATCGTGCGTCTCGGCACCAACAGTAACCTCTGAGTTTTCGAAGTGATTTGAAGAGGTGGCGTGAAATCAGGGCCTTGATGTCATTAAAACTACTGATGAGAATTGCTCGAGTAGCGAGAAATTCTTTGAGATTTTTAGCACTGTTCGTGCTCTTGGTTAACCTTGAAATATGTGCCGAGCAGAAGAGATGAGAACCAAGATTTCGAAGTGAATGAGCTTCGGCTTGCTGGTAAAACCCAGCTGAAACATGTTAACAGCTTAAATTAAATCAAGCATTAGTGTTCCGAGGTTCGCTTTCGTATTGGAGATTTCACATCGGTTCCATCAATTTTTTCCTGAACAAAGCGCTCCACTATTAAAACCTTCAAACCATAAAAAAAAGATATAGCGAGTCTTTTTCAACAATTTTTCCCATTTTTTTTAGCAATTTGCCCCTGTCGCTGACCAAAAACGAAATTATGCTAGTGATGGTGATAGTAATGTTATGAATAATGTTACAAATGAAAGTGCAAATGAAGTTGCGAATGATATCATTCATGTTCGAATTTGCAGATGATCCATATTCATATGTGCAAATCTTGTGACGAATGAAGAGGAAATGTTAGTGACGAATGAAGAGGAAATGTTAGTGTAAAACATGTTATGAATGATGGTGTAAATTATGTTGTAAATAATGCTGCAAATGATGTGAATGATGATAGAAATAAAGTTGCGAATGATAGCTAGAATGGTGCAACTATTCGCTCCAGTCTACTTATATTCACAAGTCTTTATTCTTGCATTATTCAAATGAATACATTACATCTAATGCCCTGCATCCATTAGACGCTCTATGTACACTGGTCGAGATATCGAGCTACCTGGTACACTACTGTCCGATATTAATTATCTAAAGTTGCACGTGATGTCGATTTAGACTTTGACCAAAGGATAAATTTTCGTTCTGTTTGGCTGCTGTTCTGACCGCGGACTAACAGAATAATGTTCACTGATACAATTATGTCTTTGTCTGTGCTCCAGCAGCAGCTAATTCTTAAGTCTAAACAAAGTAAGTCAAATGCATGGAATTGCTGATACGCCCGATAATCGACTGATTTATACTCATTGTAACACAAATCTCATGCGTAATAGACTCGTATACAAAACACTTGACTGAAATATGTTCGTTGCAGCGCAAACTATGTGTTTGGTTATGTTGATGTGCAAGATACTTGAATTGCTCATTGCTGCGCAAATCATAATAAATATAAGGAGAAGCCCGATAAAAACATGGCTCTATCCTGTTCTGTAGTTTTAGATTTACCATATTTAATTTGAGGCCCCACGTTGAGGCAATTAGTGAATCGTCACTGAATTAATGACGAATTAATATTTCTTCGGAGAATCCTGAAGAATTCCGAGATTTAAACAAAAAATCGCTAATTGGTTGTGGAAATGTGGTTACTTTCTGAATCTTTATGAATTTTTAGCTATTGAGATAAATAGCTCTTATTGATGACTGAGTATATAGGAATTTGAAACGTAATCCTGGGCTCACAAAGGTTCGCTATAGTGTTTGTGCAGCTCAAATGCTGGCCCAGTATCGGCAACTTGCACCATGTGTTCACTAGTCGCCAGCATCCGGTGATGGTATCGTGTTCGCGTCGCGGAGTGCAGTGAAGCGCATTGCAGTTCTTTCTCATGTTCACGGTAGATCGATCATAACTACACAAATAAAATTTTCTTCGAAGAAAAGACTTCTTGAATTTTTCAAATTTACATTTTAAAAAGTCACATTTATTTAATCAATTTTAATATCAAATCAACGAATTAAAGATTTGAATATATGCTAAAATTGTTAAAGTTCATTGTTCTATCCTTCTAAAGCGTTACACCATCTTAGTGGCAAAGAGTCAAGTTTTACAGTGTAATGAAATGTTTTATTTTTTATAATTAATTATTACTGAAATGATTGTTGATGAATATTTGGAATTTTCAATATCAGAATTCGTTACACCACAAATCATTTCTCTTAGCGATGAATTTTTGTTATGAATGTAAATCTACTTTCATATTACACTGCTGCTTGACTTGACATGTCGACATTTTTAATATATTAAATTTCATTGTGAACAATGATAAGAGAGTGCAGGTGCGCATGACAGTCGTGACGTACAGAATACCGCTTCTGCACGCGTTCTCATTTTACACTGAGCGCGCAAAATATTTTATCATTATTCTTATTCATTTTACGTACCACTCGTACTTCTTTTGCGTATGTTTCACTAGCCTCCACAATCATACGCTAACCACTTTTATTTTTTGTGTAGAGTTTTCGCCTTTGGAAAATGCTATGATTGCTCACCGGTGCCCCAACACTAAACACAATATCTGCTGTTGTTGTAAAGAACTCGTTTTTCATCACACGTGACGTTTGAATCTTTGAAAGCTTCAGTTCAATATTGAACAATAAAAAAAAAAACAGACCGTAAAATGTGACAATTTTTGACAATCGCTTTTATTATAAAGCTCCCACTTTTTGACCTAATACGTTTGGGGAGCTTTTAGTAGTCAAATACGTAGGGTATTTTATTTGACTTGTCAATACGCTTGAACCATCATGACCCCTATGCATGGTCGCAGACACCCACCAGCTACCTCCCCCTCCCCCCCACGCACTGATTATGATGGGTCTGTCTTCACCTCATAACCTCGCCCTGGAATACTGTAGTTCCTCCACTTCCGGGTTCATCGAGGCTAAGATCGTAATTTCAAAATTAATCAATGAGCAACATTCGAAAACGGAAATAAAAACATTCGCAGTCGAAAAGTCCTAAAAAACAACATTCGCAGTCGAAAAATCTTAAAAGGTAAAATTCGGTAAACTTGATAAGCCCCAATTTGAGTTTAAAATTTTCTGCCTAAGTATACAGCAAATTAATGTTCATTCAGCCAAGAGTACACGAATGCACAGTAAAAATATTTATTTTTTATTTTTCGGCCAGTGCCGAAAAACCATGCTGATCATGATTGACCGTCTGTGAGTAGCGCGCTTGCAGAGCAATAAAGAAGCGGGGTTTTTGCATGGCTGTTCGTAATTTTTCTGCCTGTCGGGCTACCGTCGCTATGGACTGACTGATGTATCCATGCCTTTGTGGATAGTCTGTAGAGAATTAATAACTCGGGTCTATAACGAATGAATAAGCAGCTGTGTTTTGGTCGTTTATGCGTTTGTTGTGCGAGGTTTTTATTGACCGAAAGAAGCCAGACTTGTTCACGCGCTGCATGTTACGCAAATTTTATGGAAGGTTATTGTTTCACTTAAATTTCACTTAAAACTTATAAGAAGTTTTTTAAACATTTCAACAAATAGTTGTTTCAGAAATTGCCAACAGTGCTCAGAGCATTATATATTTTAGTTTAAACCTTGAGAAGCTGATTTCTATAATAAGTATTATCTCGACTTTCATTACGGTTTTGCGATTGGCATAATTTAATCTTCTCTAGCTTCGAGAAAATCTAGGCACTGAACCATTAAACGTTTTTCTCGACTTAATATAGCTAAAAAACGTTAAAAACATATGGCTCTTAAATAAAAATAAACACTTTTCTCTCTAATATTAGTCATTTGACTAAAAATATACGAAAAGTGTATATTAATAATTTAATGGTAGAAAAAGTCATTTAAGTGCATAAAAGTGCATATACCATGTAATATTTTCTCACTTTTTAAGTGATACTCTCAGTTTTAGAATCGAAATAACTATCAATATTAAATTTAAGAACGTCGTTGACAAATGGAATAAATCGAGAAATCATGGAAACTTGGATTTTTCAAATGAAGAAATAAAATTATAACACTTCCTACTGAGATATCATGTTAAAACCTATTAACGATGGCAATAGGTGGATGTGACAGATGGAGCAAAATTGAGACTAATGTTGTGATTACTGTGCTGAAGTCAATGTTTTGGAACAGTGTTACTCCTGGTGCTTAATATGACATACGAGAGAAGACAACGTTAGGCATCATGAAAAAATCTCTGAGAGAAGTTTTGCTAATGAAATTGCTTGTCATTTGCTTTGCCAATTTCACCCATACGAAGAAAGCATTCATGGTGGGAAGCTGAAATTTCCCCGCATTCAATTCTATGCCCGAATTGGAATGCGGATAGAGGAGGCTTCAAGTCAGCCACGCATGTCAGTTATATACTCGAAATTCTCTGTCATCTCACCTCTCTGAAGGATCAAATATATCTGGCTAAAATATTACGTACTATGTAAAGTGTTAACATCCTCTTAAAGTAGAGGGTATAAAGTGAAGTTATCGGTTAACGGTAGGGCTAAGTTATTTATACATGTTCCGTCGCCAATCACCATTGCATCATTGCAATGATGCAATGAAATTATTGTGGCATCACTATTCATGCCATCCACCACCTCTCTATAAAAGTCTTTTTGCGTCGACTACACTTGTTCACGCTGTATAAACTCCCTAGCATTTAAATTCATTCATCACATCAACACAAGTTTTTCCACGGACCCTCACCCGCCATTACTCTCACCCGCCTCATTGAGAACAATCTATAATTCTATATCATGGCAATTTCTTTTTCCACCACGCCTCACATTACACCATTTAGAGCTCCACAGTTTCCTTCTCCTCCTCAACACCCACGTAACACTTATCCTGCAATCTCTCATTCCTCCTGTACCTACGTCCACTCACACCCATCTTTCTTGTCATCGCCTGCAACAGTCTCCACTCATGCTACCATCATACATATATTCGGCATACATGTATTATATATGTATGATGATATATGTATGTCTACCATAATACTTATATTAATACTTTGACATCGCCTTCACTGCCAAGGACAGATAGCGACGGTAACACCGTCTCAAGGTTGCCAGATGGTCTTTTTCCGGACAAATTCCGCGATTTAGTTTTTTTCAATTGTGTTGGCCGGCTAAAATTTATGATGGCAGTGCTTGCCTTATTCCAAGGCCTTATTAAATTTTGAAAAGTATAAAAAAGGAAAATGCAATTCTTACACCGGAACCTATAGAAATACTAGTATACGTATATTGAGTAATCGGCCCTTATTGGCCTTTTTTGTCCGCGGACTTGGCCGTTTTTTAGGCCATCTGGCAACCCTGACACTGATTAGCGGAGGTGGACGCAGAAGCACGATCAACATGCCATAATTTTGCATTATCACAGCCCAATAATAATACAGAAATACTGTATGGACTAACGTCAGTCGAAAACCATTTGAATGGATTGTATTTCATTCTCATTTTAATTATCATTAATTACCTTTATAACCTAGAAGTTCCTGATTATTCGATTAAACCAAGAATGTTAATGCATAATAAATATAATATATTATACGTACATAATAAAAGCACATAAATAATAATAAACATAGCACACAATCAAAATATTAGCTTTAAAAATAAAATAAAATAAAAAACTATAAAAAAGTGTTTTGTAGGAATTAAATATCTCATAAAAATAATTGTGGCATCACTATTCATGACATGTACGACGTCTCCTACCCTTCATTGGTCGGCAGCAACTTTCCACTTTCTTCGATATTCTAAGCTCGTTTAAGGTCCAAAGATTTGAAATTAACAAAATTGACCTATTCTACTCGCAGAGAAAAACTAAAATTACCTAAGCTTCAATTCAAACTGCACGAATAAGGTTGTGTGTTCGAGCATATAAGATATAACTTAGGTTCCCACGTGCTTGAATATATTTATTTTGGTATAAAATAAAACATCACAGATGAGTATCAAGTCTACTTCGCCTCCTGCATTAAGCAACGCAAAGATGCAAGTTCGTTCACCACTAGCAACAGAAGAAATGGCTCCTTATTTTGTAGACAAGAAAAATTATCAGAAAGAGTCTGCAAACAAAACAGGTGAGATAATGTAAAAGCTAAGGAAATTACATTACAAATAAGTAAGTGTACTCTACTCTTATTAGAAGTGCTGGGAATTTTTCGAAAGTTGCGAATAGTGGATGATATATCAAGATGGAAGCAATCAGTTAAAAAAATTTATCGACTAACCTCCAAATGCATGACAATGCGGTTTACATTATTTTAATTGATCAGTGTTGTACCAAACTCTCAAATTCCGGCGATTTTTAATGTTGTACAAATTTATTGAATGGAATTAAATATGTGCCTGGATGGTTATAAAAGTTTATTAAAAGCACATTGACAGGGATACCAAAATCATAATGTCAATCTGAAATCAGGAGTATTTTCATCATAAGAGAAAAAACAATTGTCTGTAGAAAACTAATCGTATCTTTGATAAACAGAAGTTTCGTGGAAATAGAAAATACAATTTCACGGATTTCATTGAACGGAAAGCAAAATTAATGAGCTTTAATAAGTATACATTCTGTGTAAAATAAGGATCGGTTGGTATAATTCATTATTTTAAACAGGTTTGATTGAAGACTAGAAAATATGGTTTTCTTGACAACTTTTTTTATTAGTTTTTCATCACATCGAACAATATTTTCGTTGACGTCGTTAGATCAGAAATAAGGTTACCATAGAAATTTTTAATATGTTAACGACTTTTCTGTAGAACCTAAAAGTTTTCTCTGACTCTCTGACTCACCTGGTTGGGCTCGAAGTAGGTCATGGGCTTGAGTGGGGGGCAGGCGCCCCCGAAGAGGACCTGCGACGCCCCCTGAGCAACGAGCAGCGCCAGCAGCAGTGCGAGGCTCGTCTTGGGTGCCGGCATGACCATCGCTAGTCCCGTCGTACGAGTCAATATTTTTTTGACTTAATTTAAACTCTCACTATTTTCGGCGACAAAACTGGTCCCGTGCGTTCGCCTGAAATTGACGTGGCCTCATATTTTATTATGAAAATTACGAAATGGTCATTAATTTTTAGCGCATTTTCTCATATATGGAAAAAAAAACGTTATAGCGTTCGTCAAGTCCGTTCGCGACTCGCACGTCATGCCCGTCCGTGACTTCACGTTTTCGTCGACGAGAAAATGCGCTCTCTGTCACTCACTGCAGTGAGTACTGAGTTATTTTTTAAGTTGACGGTCTGAAATCTCCGTCGTCGTGAGAGCTTTTTCGATGACAAAATCATGAATATAGTTTGTTTATCGATGCTTAAATCACGCTTTAAAACCAAAGATTCGTAAAGGTGAGTTCAGCAGCCACGTCTTCATTAAAAATGTGCAGCTTACTAAAGATCAATACCCAAACTTTATAAGAAATGATCAAATTCAAAAAATCTAATTGAAATACTTTTTTATGCACTGATAAAACGACAATAATGCATCTGCTTTTCGTAATGTTGATTGCAACTATCAAACATTATCTGCTGATCGCGGTGCTCGATTTAATTGTGCATTGTTTCACTACCGGCAAAGCCCTCAGATTTTCAATTGCGTCACACCTGACATATCAAACGCTGCCGAATCACTGTGTGCGTTAGGCGTAGTGCTGTATAGAATTAAACGAGCCTCCAATTTGTTAGCGAATTTAAATTGATTTTCGTTTGCAGACTTGCACAGGCTGCTAATTTCTATAGAATGTCGACACATTTCCGGCGCTCTCTGTAGGCTGGGTTTGTCCACCTGAAAAGCTTCCGGCTTTTCGTTGCATTTTGTTTGTTTTTCGCATCGCATGCAACCCTTGTCGATTAGTCGCGCCTCATGTGAGCATTATTTGTAATTGTAGGTAGTTCATACTTTTTGGGTGATTAAGGATAATAAATTGTATAATAATCAATTGACAGAGTAATTCGAACATGTGCATATAGTGACTATATTCTAAGTGAATTATTACAAAAATGCATAAATTTTCTTTCATAGATTTTTGAGTTTGAATGCCGCCCGCAAAATCTCACTGACCGTTCATTAAATATTTTCTTCTTTTATCTTAGAAACATTAATTTTTTTGTCTCTTAACAATTTTTTCGTCATGTCTGTTCATATAAACCCATCTGGATCCATTATAACTTGAAGACAAATTTAGGGCGTGATGAATATTATAAATATAGCGTATCATTGTAGGTAGAGATGAACGCTTGATCGTTCCCATTGCAATGGCTGCGTACGCACTGAGCGCCATCGGGTTACGCAAGCGCCGTGCGTGGGCGTAATCACCAGCGATCAGAGCGCAACCGGCGTCAGATTTGTCGCGTCGTCGGGACACTTCCGCCTGCTGCTTCATTTGCACTGGCAGCCTTCGAATATTTCATGGCTGGAGAGATTTATCGTTGAAATTAATTAGTCCATGATAATTTCAATTAGATATACGCATAATAATAATCCATCATCGGCACAAATGGATTAGTAGATTTAATTAATAAATTTTAATTACTATGTGATAAGCGTTTTTGCCAGCCCCGTTAAAATTATCTTTATCATTCTATCGAATTTTGAAGAATCATTTGATCCTTAAGCTAGATGTTGATAAAATCGATTTTTTGTCAAATGTTTCCATAACGTTACTTTTGCAAATTCTTTTGGAGCTGAACGAATCCAAAATAACTCTACAATGTTTAAAATATCTGTCTCATTCTAATATTCAACATTAAAAAACAGAAAGTGTTATAATAAGTTTCATGATGATCATATGATTACACGATAAACTTTCCCCTGGATGTTTCAGGAGCGAAAGCGCCGCTTTCGACAGTTGTGCAATTTTCTCACAAAAACCATTAGCATAATGGACAGTCTTGGGGAAACTGAACCGAGCGAAAGTATTTTAGCATTAGGGAAAGCAGAGTTCATTCAAACGCAGCGTTATCATTCAAGTTGAATGAAGTATACTAAGCTGTTCAATGTAACCATTAGATTATTTTATGATGAATTAATGAGGTCATCGAGTGCTGAAAATTTTCCCAAACTGTTATTGGCGTAGAGGCATTGAATGCTGCCCTAATTCGACCGTAGAATTAAGAATGATACTACATGATTGTATTTAAAAATATATGTTTGGATATGATCTAAAAGAGCTAGTTAGATTTAAATTCGTTAGCGTGACGCAATAAATGAGTGATAACAGATCTCGGAAGGTGCGAGGCAGCAGATGTGATTGAAATAAGTGAAAATCTTTCCTGAGAAACTGACTCGCATTAAAATATTTCAGAAATATCATGTTGTTAGCAAAAACAATAGAGTGGGCCACTGGAACAATTTGATATCACTAATAATATTATGAAGAGTAACTAATCAGTGTTGAATTATGCAATCACGCATGCCATTTATTGTTTTAAATAATATAAAGAATATATAACTGCTTGTAATGAACATCTGAAGTTATATGTAGCCTCACCCAAAATATGCACGCTCTAAATCAACATTAAAACAGCTTCAGAAAAGGTCTGCTGCAAATTAATGGATTTGACATCATTGAGATGCTCACCATCATCCAGCCATCACTAACTATTCAGACTAACAATTCAGTTACACCCTTATGATTATGATCATATACGTACATACACGAAAAAAAAAACAGAAATATGTGCAGGGCTTTACGAGTATGATAATCATACACACGAAGAAGCTGGAATGTGCTCAGACAAGATTTCCGACCGTCACTCCATGCGTAATGTCGATAATCAGCCGTAAATGTGGTGCTTTGTGATCCATATGATCCATATACATTATACAGTAATCCCTCGTCATGTCGCGCCTCACTTGTCGCGGTTCTTCGCTTGTTCGTAGGTTTCTGAGGCAGTCGATCGACAGTAAGAGTGTGGGAAGAGTTTATAATGATTTAAAGCAATAAAAACTTAGTCAGCAATTATATACTATATATATACTTCAATAAATACTATCAGTCGATCAATTCCCCGTCCCGGATTTCAGCTATCTTGGCCGAGGTCTGGAACGTAACTCCCGCTATAGGTTGGGGATTATTGTACAGTGTTCGTCACACTAAATAGTTTAATGGCTTGCTGCGTGTGGTCCAGGAGTGGTTCGAGACGGTAATCGCTCAGCCCTTGGCTATGAAACATGAACGTCTACATGTAGCGGCCGCTACATTTTCAGTAGCGGTAGCGGTAGCGGCGCTACATTTAAGCAATTGTAGCGGTAGCGGTAGCGCCCGCTACATTTAGATTTTAGAGCATGTAGCGGTAGCGGTAGCGGCCGCTACATTTCAAAGTAGCGCTGCCCAGCTCTGGATGCAATATTGTGCTGGAATGATACGCATAATGTGTAATGCTGTCAACGACGTTCAATGAAAAATTAGTCGATAGACTTGGATATAATTTATATAATTTATTTATAATTTTTTTCTCAGATCAGACGTGATACATGCCGAGCATGAATAAAACGTCGCATAAATCCGTAGTCTAATGGCGGTGCTCACCTCAACTGCTGATGACGGCAGCGATCTGGATGCCTCAAAACATTGATGATTCAAACTTGATAGTAACATTTAAATTCCACACAATTTTTTCTTCAGAAAGCCTAAAGTTTATGGCCAAATTATTATACTTAAATGTCCTTCTTTCTTAACTCAATTATTGTTCTTGCCTTCTTGCATCCTGTCGCCGGAAACTGGATTTCCTCCTGGCATTGCCTATCTTGAAAAGAAGTTTTTGCTAATTTCCATATCCTTGTTTGTATCCTGGCAGGAACGATTAAAAAACTCTTGTTCTTCTTTATACGTTTAATTGTTAAATGACTAGGGTGTGATTTTATGTTCTCAACCTACAGCGGTGTACATCTTTTTATTGAGATCTTAGGTGTAAGATTTCCTTGCCAGCTGCCAGGTGACTTATGCCAACATTGACTTTCTACTTGCATAAATATTGCTGTAAAATTTAACGTACAATATTATTGTATAATAAACTAACCAGCAATAATTCCACTTGAATAATGAAATTGTTTAATACTTTTAACTCTCTATTGTTCATTTTCCAACTGATCTGCAATCAACTCCAAACTAGTGCAACATGTTCTGGAAGATTTTTTGTTATTTGACCAAGTTTCCGAGTGCAGAATTCGATGTACAGTGTACTCAGCTTTCATGACAAAGACTCTGTCAATATTCACACGAATCCGCTGCATCAACACCTCTCCACCCGAAGCCACCCGGGCCTGGCCCACCCGTCCGTAATCGTCAGTTATGGAAAGATCGGGTTCCAAAGGCCGGATCCCTTGTGAATCACGTCACGAAAAGTTCAAGAATCGGCAACAGGCCATGGGCCTATGTCTTCAACGCCGACACTTCTATTCTATTCTAACACCTCCACCCGAAGCCACCCGGGCCCGGCCCACCCGTCCGTACTCCGTCGTGAAGGCTCAGTGTTGAACGAGTGGCCACGCTGTAAACTTGACGTCGCTCTTCCTCTCGGCTCTATTTCTTTGTCCGAATCCAATCACCAGTGGGTAATGTCAATATGCGTGTCATTTATAAAATGGTTCACGTATATTCAATTTATGTGTGTTAAATTTAATGATAAGAATCATATAAGTATTTTAAACACAAAACCGATACTTGGTTAATATTTTATGTGACAGGAACTTATGTTTGTATAGTGGCACACACACCGCGCTTGGAAGACGTTTTTTTTGGAATTACAATGAAAATGTTAGGTCAGCTGCCTTGTGTTTTTGGTTTTCAAAATATATTGCTTGTTAGATTAGGATATCACGGGCCTTCTTGTGAACCATATAAAGCTATACAGTTGTAATTACGTTTTTAATGCTGAATCATATCTTCCAATCGTTACGTAATTGCCAAGACAATGGACAGAGTCCGAGAGCTACCAACTGCTACATCAGAATTCGGACATCTACTTGAAAGTCAATCTTAAGTATTTATTATAAAAAAGGTTACGCAATTTACGACGAATGACTATATGTTATGTAATGAGTGATGATCATCATGATGAACATAAATATGATAATGAACTGAAAATAGAGGGAATCATCAGCTTTCTCTCCATGTTTAAAACTTATCTGCTTTGTTGAAGTAGTTGCGGTATGCAAAATTATAACGTCTATGAGTTTATTATAAAAGTTATCTGATTTAGCTATTACTCTGATTTGGCTATTATTAAAGGTACCTACCTCTTATCATCCGGCTCAGAATTAAGCTTTAAATTTGTTTTCATTCTGACAAGGCATCCCTTTCAACATTTTTATTCCAAGGACACTGATCACGCGAGCCCCCGGGGTTGTTCGGTATTGCTACGTGTTATAATCGCTTCAACTTGTTGAATGCTATAGCTACCCGGACCTAATCCCAGCTTCTATTAATTAATTTAAACTTATTTATTTGGTTGGCGTTTATCACCATTAGTCAACAATACTAGTTGCGCTAGTATTTTCATCAACTATAAAATTAGGAGCAGAATTTAATTTTTTTAAACATCAACCAAGGGCGGGAAATCAAAACAAAAATCGATGCTAAAGTGTTGGAGTCGATAGTCCATGGGTTTTCTACAATTTTCATAGATAATCTGACTATTATAAATAAGAAGCGTAAAAGTTTATTATGATAACTAAAGCTTTTATTAGGAATCCGAATTTGGCTATACTTCTTTTGTTCGTTATCAAAACGCGACTGAGGATTGACTGGGTGACGGACGTGCGGCTTCGTTGTCGATCTTTTTCTTGAGTGAGGCATTGCTTTTTATGACTATATTATGTTATCTATAGTTGATGTGTTGGGCACTGTCGTGTTGATTCGCTCTCGTGCTTCTAGCTAACCGGAAAAGTGACATTTTTTTGTTTACGTGACCTTGTGTAACACACTGATATGTGGGTAAAATGGGATTAATTCTTTTCATCTTGCTTTCAAGTTCTTTCGCCTCTCGATGAAACAAGGCTCAAATAGTCTGCTCTGTATCTAATTGATTCCTGTAGCACTGAACCGAAATTTTATGTTGTTCTGTCATTTATTTGTGTATGAACAATGAGCATGTAGCCTCTATACAATTATGCATGCCTGTTCTGAGTTTTCTCTTCATGTACATGACATATTCACGTCAGTAATGATGCCTCGCGCAGCGTGCAGAGAGATACGTATCATGTCTTCACGTCAGTAATGATGTCTCGGCGTGCAGATAAAGGCGGCATGGCAGGTCTGGTTAAGGGCATCAAAGCGCTGCTGGGGGACGTTGAGACGGCGCCCTTCACAGTCACGGCGGAGAAGGAGGTGTGCGTCTCCGTCAAGTTTTCTTTATTTTCATGATAATTGATCAATTTAAATTATCGAATGTTTCATCTTGTGGAAAGTGGTTGAAGTTCGCATTTGTATGGGACGTGTACTGGTCAATTATTCCTACCTGTTATTTACTCGCTGATTCATGAGCTGGACTTTTCTCAAAAATCTTCTGAGAAGCCGCTGAAAGCAGCTTCCATTTAATGATTGACCAAGAGTATCAATACGGCAGGGGTACGAGGAGCGAGTGTACCCTGCACGTAAATGGGCTTGCACCACCATGCAGGGGCCGGAGCGTGATAGTCTCGTATCGCCCATGTTTCGTAAACTCTTCAACTACATCTCCGGCAAGAACGAACTCAGTGAGTGTCACGTTTAAAATTAAAGCTCTTTATAGAGCTTCTATGTTACTGTCATGCTTCATCTTACAGCTCTTCTTTGGGTCCTCAATGTTACATACCAACAATCGCAGAATGAAATTTTTATGATATATTGCACAATGTTTTAGAATACGCTCTGAACCGTACTGGCGATGATTTTTCCCTGAGGTCTTCTTGGAGTGAAAACTTTCTTTTCTATCAGGCTCATCGTATAATTTTGATTTCGGTTGTCGAGTGCAAGGCAATTGATTTGCCGAAACTCTATCACGATTTGTTAGGATTTCTTTTATTTTTTATTTTTACTCGTTTAATTTCTTCTAAGGTTATTTTTTATCACGTAACTTTAAACGTATCACATTACAGACCTTCGCATGGACATGACGACGCCCGTGGCGACATACATCGAGCCTGGCGCCGGCCCCACATGTGCCTCCACCTTCACCATGAGCTTCTTCGTGCCAGAGGAGCACCAGAGCAGCCCCCCCAACGGAGGTCCTGACGTCTTCGTGCAGGAGCGGCCTGAGCTCACCGTCCTCACCAGGTGCGCCGTTGGCCTCCTGATTTTCTAAGTGTATTACCAGTATAATAATACAGCGGTGCCAGCGATGACTAGGCCGTCACACCTGTCGCCAATTCTTAACGTCGCAGAACATTCTCAGCTTGTTGCTGGTCTCGAACTCGCAATTCACAGTTCCAATCTTGCCGTGCCTAACCGCTCGGGATGCTCGCCGATTTGACCAGAACTATCGCACAGAGCTGGGATCGAACCAATAGCTTGCTGCTCCAATCCTGGTATTCTGAACTGTATAACCACTGAGTTTGTTAAGCTCCATGACAGGTATTTGGTTTTTCACTTATACGTTGGAGTTGAACGTCAACTTAGTTGAACTTGACGGGTGTGAAATAATTTTTTTTCATTAAGGAAATAAAGTTCAGAAGATTGAGTTGAAGTTGAAAATTATAACGAAAAATGCTTTACAAAACATAAGACACTGAGAGCTTTTTTATGTATTTTCTCATTCAAATTGCCTGTTTTTGAAATATGTTTTAAAACTGACCGCTATCTTAATGCAGTTTGCCGTTCAAATAATACGTTTCACAGGCGATTCGGTGGCTACGCCCCTGACGAAGCCGTGGCCAAGGAAGCCAAAGAACTGGCCGAGCTTCTCCAGGCGGCGGGGGAAACGGACGTGGACTTCACTCATTACTACGTGGTTGGCTACGATCCACCTTTTAAACCCATAAACCGCAGAAACGAAATATGGTTCATTAAAAAGTCTAAACCTGCCAGTCCTTCAGAGTGAAGATTTGATTGAATTGTACCATCAGTGCGTTCAACAGAGTTGCCATAGAGATGGCTGAGGGTGACCGTCAATAAATTTTTGTCTCCTTTTCAGAGATTATATATGGCATCACGTCATTGGTTAGGCTGGTTTACGATTTTTTTGCTCACTCGTATTAACGCAAAGATTGCACATTGAAAATTAAGCTCAGCAAAAAATGCTCTGGTCTGATACTGTGGACACCCAGAGACGACTGATACTACACGCATACAGAGACAACTGATACTACTGGTACACAGGGACTACTGATACTGGAGGCATACAGAGACCACCGATAATACAGGCATACTGAGATCAATGATACTATTTTACCGAGAAAAACTGCTGGTTTGTTCTCCTGATACTTAAGTGAGAAGAATTCCAGAAATCCTGATATGCATAGTAAAGTTTAGTTCTTATAAGTTTAAGTCCGAATCTCATTAGAAAAATACTTCTCATGGATAATTCACTCTGTATTTTTTATGCCAGAAGATATGTGAATTTACACGCACAATAAATGTGGGACCTAAGACGGCAAGTTATTCGTGCACATTCTAGTGCACTTTTAAAGTTTGAATGTGATGTTTAATTCTAATAAAAAAATGCTATTCCGATGAATCTCGGGGCTTCAATAAATAGTTTAAACCTAAGCTAATAAATTCCAATAGTTTAAACCTATCAATTCATTTGACCAGAGCTGGATAAACGTTCCTCGGGGGAATGCAATGTCTTAGCGACTGGAAATTGTAGATATGCAACTGCAATTTCTAATAGCATAACAATTATCGGGAGTTAAGGTTTATTTCAAACGCTTTTGATCAATCGTATTTGTGTAATTCTGTGTCCACTTTCGCTCATATTTGTTACTAATCTCATACCAGTATTTTATTTGATTGTAAAATATATTATTTACTTATATTGCCGTCTTATTGCTGTCGTGATAGGTCAGACTGTGATATTCCAAGACACGATTAAAGGTTATCGATGTGTGTTTTCACTGAAAATCTGTAAATTTACATTTTAATGTTTAGTAATGGATTTAATTTTTGTACTTCTATGTCTTAGAGGATTTCTACTCAATCGGCTCATTGTTGTCTTTAATTCTCGATTCACTGAGACAGTGTGCGTACAAATATACGTAGAAGTTGAGAAGGTTTCCCTGCATTACGTATAAATTTCCTATAAGTCTAGGGTATTTTTACGTAAAGTTTTGTTCGCTTATATGGTGTAGTGAAAAAAACTAAGGACAAAAGATTTAGAATTTTATGTCTATTCTTGGAAATAATTCTTTGAGAAAATATTTATATGACGGGTTAGATAAGAAATTGAATTATTTTTTTATAGATCATTGTACTTTATTATCACAGTAACTACTCATAGAGGCTGATGAATATTCTACGTAGAAAAATGTTCTGGAATTTCCACGCATCGTTTATAAATTTGTTAGGTTAAGTAAGTAAGCGTGCATTAAGCACGGTCAAGTGCCTTGCACCGTTTCCTTACATCCCAAATCTATTTACCAGGACAAATTCATTAGACCATTTAGTAAAATTTGAGTTGACGGTTATGTTACTTGTTTATTACTCCCTGAAATATTAAAAATAGCATCACGGTGCTAGCAGTGCTGATAAATTGCATCGCACTGCTGACAGCGCTGAGAATAAGGATTGCACTGCTGACAGCGCTGAGAATAAGGATCGCACTGCTGACAGCGCTGGGAATAAGGATCGCACTGCTGACAGCGCTGAGAATAAGGATCGCACTGCTGACAGCGCTGAGAATAAGGATCGCACTGCTGACAGCGCTGAAAAAAAGGGTTGCAGTGCCGGCAGTGCTCTAAATTTAACGCCTTCTGGCCAGCTGAGACACCGAAAAACGTCATATAGTGGACAAAATAGGAAGTTAATTGACTATATGCTATGTCATCAGAATTAACACGTAATCTGATGAAACTGAAGCGAGGGAAAATAGAGCAAGTCGATTAAATGGATTTATTTATTTGAAATAATTCATCTTAGTAGAGCTTATTCACTAATGCCACGACGCAAATGTTAAAGTTTTAGCATAAAGAAGACCACTGTACACGAAAATTCTACTGGGACACGGAACTCTTGATATGCTCTTCAAGGGAATTTATGCTAACCTCAACAATTACTTGATAATAATTCACTATAGGTCATTCATAAACTTTTTACCACAGATACGCTATTGCTAGATGAACCGATACACGCGAGTGGGACGCGTTCTACTTCAATGATCTATGTACATTTATGTCGATACTCAGTAAAAATAAACATATTATAAAACATCATTATGGCCAGTTTACGACTGTCGGACGTTCATTGATGAGGTACCCATTGTAAGTTAATGTAGGTGAGGCAAGAAATTCCTGAATTCAACATTTTATGCACGAAACAAAATTATTATTTATATTAATGATTTAATGATTACAGAAAACATAGATTATCGCTCCTTAAATTTTCTTTATCATGATAACATACACTACATCTGGACAATAATTGCGTTAGTTCGAAGTATAAATTATTGGTGGGGAGAAATGACAGAGGATTTCTACGTGGATACATAAACCTTACCTCTTAAATTATTTGAAATTTTTTTTATTACTGAATTGAAATTATTTACTATTTTTCTGTATTCAGACTTATAATCTTTAGGTTGCAGTTACATTCTTTACAAGTGTTAAAGTAGATTGCACCAAACAGTGCTGCAACGTTTAGTCCAAGCGGTCTGTTCGACTCTTGATCCACCATGACGATTATTGGCCGTTTTGATGATATTATAATAATAGCGGTATCAGCGTTTAGTAGGCCGTAGATCTGTCGCCGATTCTTAACATCGCAGAACATTTCACAGCATTTTGCGGTCTCGAACTCGCAACTCACTGCTACAATTCTGCTGCATGTGCTTAACCGCCCGGCCTCTTTGTCGATTCTGACCAGAAACTGGCGCACAGAGCTGGGATCGAACCCGCGCCTCTCTGCTCCAATCCTTGTACTCTGAACTGTAACCATTGGGCCACCCTGCCTATTCACTTTGTTTAGAAAATATTTGAAGCGCTCATAACTTTTGTCAGCACTACTCGGGCTGAGATAGACCAGGAGGCGAACCTTGCATGTGTGGGTGTTGTTTTCTTATAGAATCTGAACCTAAATTCCTCGACGTTCACGTTCTAAACCCAATGTGGCGAGTAGGTGGGACTTGTTACGAATGTTTCAAAACATTTTGTTTTGCACTTATTTAAAACAAATTGTTGCGTTTCATTTAATCGTGCAAATAAACAGCATACAACAAACTTTCAACCGGCCATAGATAAATGGGAATATAGATCAAATTAGGATAGTTTTGTACTGTTGCTGGCTCATTATTATATGTTAAGGTTATTATAGTCCAGTGTTCTAGTGTAATTGTTCTAGTTTGTGTAAAGTAGCACTTGCCCAGTTTAGACCCGACATGCACGACCGGCATCTAGCCTGCTGTCGCGCTCTATTATTTCAGACTTCGGCCTGTCGTCGCCGCCGGGATCGGGCCCGATCGTCTCCGAGTAACAAATGTATTCAGGTTTCGGCGATTCTATTGAAATATTATCCTGTAAGTTATTCACATAATTTTTTTCGTTGGAAGGAAAATGGCAACCTCGATAGGGGGTTCGTACTGGGCTACGAAGCGATGTGTTGGGAGATATTGATCTTTCCTGGAATGTGATTTTCGTGATAGGTACACCGTCTTGTGAACTCGTGTCTGATTGTAAATTTATGACGGGAATGTTACTCGAGTGAGATTCATTTGGATGAATGCTCGAAGAAACCTTCGGATAACCAAACAGACGAGTTTGCTTTGATTGTAAGTTTATAGGCAAAGTTCCGGTATTTATATCAAGTTTCAGCGTAGTATCATTACATTTCCTATCCTTCACTCCTGCAGCAAATCGGACTGAAATGTCTATGTCAGATTTGGAAATCCTCGCTTTGATATTCCTGCCAAAGTCAGTGCAAAGCGCTGCTTTGTTCTCGATGACAAAGCCCTCTGCCACATCAACAAGATTTTCCAAGTGCGTCGAATGACTCATTTTCCTGGAATCTTTTACCAAACTCAGGTTGCGTAGAGGAGAGCTATTGCCAAATAATTTAAAGCTATTAGTGTCAACAACGCTGGATTGCGAAGTTTTCACGCTTACAAGTTCTGCATCATCTGGATCCTGAAAATTTCTCTCTGAACTCATGAATCGCGCTAAACTAGTGCTTGAGATTTTTGCACTTGCGTTTAGGAATGCAGTTGCTGGCATCGCCGAGCACGTATCGGGAGTACGAGTGATGCGCTGTGAGACGTCAGGCTCCTTAAATTTGTCAAAACATAAATCGATTGAAGACAATTTCTGGTGCTCGAGCTCTTCCTCCTCCTCGTTATTTGTCATTTCTTGAACTTGTGACGCTTTTTTGGCACCTGTGTGAAATTTCATACTGCGTTGCTTTATAGGATTAGTGTTTCTTTGTTCTTTTATTACATTTCTGTTAATCTGACCCCTGGGTGCATCTTCGCAGCCCTGTAGGTATCCTCGACTGATACCCTGAAGCTGTTCTGTATTGCCATATTGCAGCTGCAAAGGAATTTCCTGGACCTCTGCAACACTGCAGCTGCTCTGCAGTACAGTATTGCAGGTGCGCAGAATGGCCACAGAGGGCTGTAGAGCGCCCAGTGGGATGCAGGTAGCCTCCGACACCTCCTCACTCTGCCTCCCTCTGAGAAAAAATATAATTAGATAGCGGATGTTTTTCGTTTAAAATATATTATAACTACCAGGATAGCATGACGTTACCGGGTATCGGCAATTTTAGAATAACGTCATTACGCACGGCTAGAATGACGCAGAGTGAAGATATAGTGAAGCTAGCGAGAAGTCAGAGCAAAACCAGAGTGAAGCTAGAGTAAAGCATGAGTAAAACCAGAGTAAAGCCATAAGAAAGTCAGATCAAGCCAAAGTAAAGCTATGGTAGAGCCAAAGTAGAACCTCAGTGAAGCCCGAGTACAGCTAAAGTAATGCCTGAGTAAAGTCAGAATAAAGTCAGCGTAAAGTATGAGTAAAGTCTGGGTTAAAGTTAGAGTAAAATCAAACTAAAGTCGGAGTAGAGTCAGAATAAAGTCAGAGTAAAGTCTGAGTAAAGTTAGAATAAAGTCAAAGTAAAGTTAGAGAAAAGTCAGAATAAAGTCAGAGCAAAATCAGAGTAAAGTCAGAGTAAAGTCTGAGGAGAGCCAGAGTAAAATCAGAGTAAAGTTAGTGTAAAATCTAAGTAAAGTCAGAGTAAAGTCAGAGCAAAATCAGAGTAAAGTCTGGGTAAAGTTAGAGTAAAGTCGGAGTAAAGTCAGAGTAAAGTTAACAGTAAAGTCAGCTTAAAGTCAGAGTAAAGTCGGAGTAAAATCAGAGTAAAGTCAGAGTAAAGTCTGAGGAAAGCCAAAGTAAAGTCAGATAAAAGTTAGTGTAAAGTCAGAGCAAAGTCAGAATAAAGTCAGAGTAAAGTCGTAGTAAAGTCAGAGTGAAATCAGTAAAGTCAGATTAAAGTCAGAGTAAAGTCTGAGTAAAGTCAGAGTAAAGTCAGAGTAAAGTCAGAGTAAAGTCAGAGTAAAGTCAGAGTCCATTACTCTCATTGATGCACAGTTGATGATCAAATTATCTGATAATTGAATTACCTGCTAACTACCACAGTTGATTACTTTACCTAAAGCTTGCTTTAGACGACGCCACCTCACGCGCCCCGAAGGAGCTGGTGTGGGTGAACAAAGGTCGCTGCTGTCCACGCGAGCTGCGGTGCAGGGAACAGTTGTGCACACCACAGGTGGTGGTGCATGTGGTGGAACGCTGCAGCCGGTGTGATGAGGTGTCATCCATGCGACGGTGCAACACATCCTGGCAACATTCTGGCATCCAACGGTACACCATCCTGGGCAACGAAATTGAATAGTGAATAATTGCCCAATAAACTCAGGGATATTGATAGGTCATATTGTTCAAATAGTGATGCGTTTGCTACACGTATAGCATTGATACGTCTTCATGCTGGGCAAAACTGAGTCAAACTCACATAGTGCAAAAAGTGCATTATTATTTGGCTAAAGTCTCACTCATTCTTCTGAGTGCAACTACCGATATAATGTGATAATCTTCCCTGATTATTCATATATTGAAATGAAGTTATCGATCGCTTTAACATTTATGGTCATTTTTTGTATTTCTACAGGTGCGGATTTTGAAAAATCTTTTCAGAAGCAAAATTTCTCAATCAAATGATGAGGCTAGATGAAAATAATGTTGGTACAAAAAATACCTTCCACGTTGCACCCTATTACAGAAAAGAAAATATAGCGCTGCAGACTCGATTTAAACCTGGAATACAGTCGTTCAGAATGGTTTGTCATTGCAGGTAATTTCTATCTCTGTTGTGAACGCAGTAAGACTCGTGCAGTTCATACCATTGCAACTGATGCACATCATCGTCGAGTCGAGTGTTTGCGTTGAAGTTTCTTATAGTGAATTCTAAATAGGAATTTTGCGGT